TCCCCTTATTTAAAGTGTTACATATTTTATATCTATAAATGGCCTCAGAAAAAGAGGAGCTAACGGTGGAAAGCAGATTATCCATCACAATTTTGAAATTATGGATCAGAATCAGGAAGTAGGGCCAATTTTTACCTTGAGCAATCCAAAATTTGCCCATTTTTGCCTGGAATACTGACCCTTGAAGTTAGTAAACAGAGCCCCTCGATGAAATAGCGAGTCTTTAAATTATTTTGGACGGTAGAGGCCCAAGCAAACAATGTTGTTCAAGTGTAATCGATGCCAAGGAATCTGATTCTAACAGTACGGAAGCGCCCAGGAACCTCACTTATGGGTGAGAGGAGAGGGGGGCCTAAACTCACAAATACTGAGTCTAGGGCCTGTCCAGTACCTTAGCAGCAAAGTTCTTAGTGGCTTCAGGATTATCAAATTCAGATTTCCTAGGTTCGATTTCTCTTTGTCAGCACCTTTTTCTTGACCGTTTAAGTTAGATTAGTGATCCACCACTCCTACAAGGGGTTAGCTCTGTCCCTTAACTTCAGGGATCAGAATTTTGGACTGAAATGGGCTGATTTTGGTCTTTTAGGTATTAATTTAGTTTAAAGATTTTTCGTCCCTTTTTCTTTTGATGAAATTATTTAAAGATTGTGACAGGATCCCCCCTTTTAAGGTCAGGAGCCCTTTCTTAGTCCCAAGAGGGACTGGGGAGATCCTCGGGATGATGAAATTCGGATTCCTTGTGGTCAATCCCCCACTCGACCCTGGGGTCTCTGACTTTTTTCAACCTAAAATAACCGAGAAAAAGCCTGGTGTGGGCGGTCCTGGTCTTTTTATCAATTAATCATCTTAGCGGAACTTAGCGCAAAAAATTAAAAACCACCGATTCAGGAAAAAACACATAGGATGTAAGTAATAAGAACGTAATGCTGCTCTAATTTGGAAAACATGTAGTTGTTGTGTGAAACATTACCTCCTCATTTTTTCCGAACAAAAATAAGTGGAGAAATGACCCTACTCATTAGAGCCATGATAAGAACTTGGATGAAGTTTAATTTCATTATCCTTCATAGAGCGAGGGAATTATGTATCTTCTACTGTAAAAATTCACTGATAGGAATCTGTGATCATATTTCACAGGAATATTGTATGTTCTTGAAGTTTTTGGTGACTTAGTCTTTACATAAGAAAATTACAATCTCAACATTAATGCAGAAAATATAGTTCATGTTTTAACTGCTTGTTCAAACGTTAAAAACTAAGGCATGTTTGTATTTATGACTATTCTTTAATAACATCAAATTTAATTTTTGTTTGTTTACAGTTGAAAGATAGTTATGGGAATGAAGTTTCAAAACTGGCAAGGCCACTTCCTGTTGAGTATCTACTGGTGGATGTTCCCGTTTCTACTCCACGAGTACCCCAGTTCACATTCACTGCCGATCCTGCAATCACGCCCTTCCCAGTTGGAAACAGGTATATTTTCACCTCTATCATTAAATTTCCTTTTACTTCATACTGTTTGACTGTCTGCACAGTGAAACGTTTTTTTATTTGATTCTATTAATGTGTTTCATTTTAAAATTTGAATTATTTAAAATTAATTGAGAGGAATGAAGTCTCCCTCTTTTCTCAAAGCTGTATTCGTAAGTAGATCACAACTGATGTAAACTACTATGACAATGTTGTTACTGTAATCCTGCAGTTGTATTGTCGTGTTCGGAATAGTCATTGACTGTACGGTTATAGTCATTGTGCAGCATTGAAACCATCTCAGTAGAAATGACTCTTGAAGAGTTGGTTAAAGAATTCCTGAAGTGCATCAAGTAGGAGATCTTTCTGTTCTTTCTTCTTGTTCTTCTGCACAAACTCATATGTAAAAATAATGCAAAATTCATCCAAATGAATAAGATATTAACATGGAAACGTCATTAAATCATATATAAACGTTACGCTGATATGAAACACCTCAATAGTGCAACATAAATGCAACTTCTTTTAAAAACTTAAAATCTGTCCTAGAATTTTGTGAAAAATTACAACTTATAATAATTAATCAGTGAAATTACTTTCAAAGCCAATGCACCATTTTATGACAAAATTGTAAGAAATAATTTATCTCCTGTCTTTCATAATTTAAAAATTTTCCCAGAATACTTGTCTTTTAGTGTTTATGACATTTTTCACAAAATACTCCATGGTTACTACTACGAGGCTATAGTGAATGTTTTAAGAGTACCCAATTATCATGTTTTATTCTTCATTTGGATTTTTGTTTCAGGATGATTGATGAGCATCTCCAAGATTTTAGTGCTTTGTCACGCTACCTTTCTCAATTTTCCCGAAAAGATTTTCTTGCTGCAGTGTCGGACTTTCACTTTTTGTTGTATGTAGCAACCATGGACATGCTTCCTATGAAGGTAATTTTCAAACGTTCTTTCCTTTGCCCTTTCTTAACTTATCAGTGCTTCCAAATAATCCAAGAACTTCAAGGAAGTTCACAAATTATAAACATTTAATAATTTTCCTGACCTGTTTTACTCAAGGTTGATGTTTCAATACTCAGCATTAATTAGTTTTAGTTAATCAGTACTCTGATGCATGCTTCCTCTTCAAGATTTCTTGTAGAACATGATTTGAATAATGAAAACTTCTAAAATTAATACCTTTTTAAGGTATTGATGTTTTTATCCAACACTGGTTATGAAAATTTTGAATTTTCTGCTCACAAGATAAACCATAGTCTACGAGGACCAAATTGCTCTCTACGAAGGTTTTGATAGGCATCTTAATCGAGCAGTATTCCTTCCCAGTCATTTTGTTTTCTAAATGTAAACAACTTTCAATAGCTGATTCAAAGCACTAAGAATGAGGTTGCTGTATTTTTCATCCGGAAGGTCCAGTACGGTAACATTTAGTGTTCGTTTTAACTCGAGTAAATCATTTTTTTCTTATATTTTTTTTTAAATGAGTGGGAAGTTTAAATTTTTTCCCAAAAAACGTCAATATTTTGATAAGGAATTACTTTGAATAATGTTCATTATGAAAATCGAGTACTACAGGAAATCTGACGAAAAAACATAAACCATACTGCATAAATTCATACCTTGTCTCGTGGTTCATTGCAAATCTTTCATGTATTAACTTTAAAAGCTAACTCTGACATGATAAAACATTGTAAGTGTGGAACCAATTATATTGTAGGCCATTTTTTAATTTGTAGTTTTGGACTTGTTAGTCGGTGTCGCCTGGTTCTCTCCTATCAAACATCGACAGATGAAAGATAGATTTAGCTGTCAGATTGTCAGATGAACTAAACAATTTTTTTTTGAAATCCAAATCAACCAATCAAGAACTACACAGAAGTGGTTTATGTGTACAAATTGTAGAAATTGAAGTTTGAAATACCTACAGCCCATCATCAAATGTCAATACATGTATGATTATTAAAATCGCATTTTTAACATAATCAACTAACCTACTACCACTGACATTTCATACAGAGACACACCTCAAGTGCGCTTTATCATTATACTTACCTTACTTAATTTTTTTATCTTTCAGGATTTCATGGGTCCATTATTAGAAGCAATTCGTGATAAAAATAATGAGAAAGCTATTGAATGGTCGCAATCAGAAAATTGGGCGACTCTGGAGCAAGTAATTTCCGCAAGTCGAGGAGACACAAGTGCAAATACCAGTTTTACATCGAATAACACCCAAGAACCAAACACTTCAACAAATGCATCAGATGTCCATCCTGACCCATCGGGTGAAGCCCAATGGACTTGTCCGTACTGCACTTTTCTCAACTTACCTCATCTTGTTAATTGTGAAATGTGTAACCTACCGCGGTAATAATTGTGGTTGCTGCCCAGGAAAAAAAGTATCGCTTTACCTTTAAGATTGGCGTTGCGTCATTTCTTCTTTGTTGCTTGAGTCTTGTCTGCAAATTGCTCAGGTTTGAAGGATGGCGCACCCGGGTTTAAGTCTGTCCAAATTTGAGCTCTAGGTCTTGAATTTCTCTAAGTCTCCATGTCCACTCAAATCAAAATCCTTTGTGAGTTTCAGAAGTTGATACTTTCTGGTCTGAAGCAAATTGTAGACTCAATCCAAGCACCAAAGTATTAAAATCTTCTGTCCCCTTGTTTCCATTGTCGTTGTTTCTCAACGAATTTTCTATACTGATAGAAGTTTTATGTAATAGCCTCTTTGATGACTCTGTGAAGTTTTTCTTGTTTTTAATGATTTTTTTTAAAAAAAATCCAATCTCTAGGTTAACAAAGTTTTTTATTTTTATCCTTCCATCTGCAAGTTTTTACAAGGAACTTAAAGTTTTAGATCAGCAACTGTAAAGACTTTGTCAAAGTATGTTTGCATTTTCTCCCTCAAGGTTGGAAGGGACGAAGAAGCTAATAAAATTTTGTTTTAACACCGAATACTTAGTTATTATTTTTTGCTCTTCAATAATTTTCCCTAGCCCTCTTGAAATTTAGAAATACCTAGAATGATAAAAATATACTTGATACTGTTCTTTCTCTCCTTTATTCATGATTTAAGTTAATGAAAGTGTAATAAACTTGAGGCCTTTTGAGATCATCTCATTATCAAAGGCCCACTACTTAAAGTAAAACCACTCGCTATGCAACTTTCACAGATATTTTGAATTTTATGAAATGATTACATCACAAGAAGTCAAATGAAATATTTTTAAAAGGATAAATAGCAGTTGAGCTTTTTCACAATTTTTTCTTATAATTATTTCCAGCAATTGAAAACTTTAAAAATTAGAGTGCCAACATTTCTCCGCCTTTCATTCATTCAAATTTCAGCTGAGAAAGCAACTTTCAAATTCACTTTTTAGAATAGTACCAAAACCGTCCTTTCTGAGCAACCTTCGAATCAACCAAATTTATAAGTTCTTAAATTTTTCTCTAAAGAACAAGTTCACCTAATCTCTTTTCATTATCTCACCCAGGAGTGCACTTTTTTTAAGTTTGAGCAAGAGAGAATGAATGATAATAACTCTTCTGATTTCTAATGGATTCCGCAGTTTTACATCACAGACAGGATACATCTCTGTCTCTTACACCAACAATCAATCACTTTTCCAATTAGTTTTACAAGCAGTTTCTTCTAAGGAGGCAAACTGCATTTTGAAGTACCTATGACAATACGCCAAGCAATAAATCAACTTTATCCCAAGAATTTGCCTAAGCCATAGGAAGACCAACTTCAGATTTTAACTCTTCTCTCATTTCTCCAGTAAATCAAAGTTCTTGAACAATCGGGTGTTCTTCTGATTTTTCAAGGAAAACCAGAGCAATGTCATGAGTAAACTTAAGAATCTTAGACCCCATGATTTAATGTTCCTGCAAGTTGTAGGTTTGGATCTCATGACACTTGGTGAGATGCTGAGTAATTAAAATGATAAGATAAAGACGCTGGGTTTCTTTATAAAATGTTAACAGAGTTATTGCGGTTAGAAGAATGTGGTGAATGATGATATCCATTGCATTCTATGGCCTCTTTTAAGCTTTCCTTCAACGAATGCTGATGGGTGCAAAACATTATAAACTGCATTTTTCATATGTGATGAGCAACAAGAACTGATCCCTCTCTGCGTTGTGTAGCACTTGAATTTTTTTTATTTCTTCATCATTTCTCACCCGAAGTCTCCTCTTTTCTGGGGAGTCAAGGAAGAAAAAGTGAAAGAAATATTACCTGGTACAATGTCAATTTTTATATCTTGGGAAACCTTTTGAATTTACATCTTCAGATTTCTTCACCTGCACCCCATATCGACGGTGAAACTACCAGACAGACAACGTGTCTCGTTTGCGGTGTTTAAAAATCTCCACTCACATTTTATTTTTTTGAAGGAGATCAAATCAATATCATTCCTTACAATTTTCATAGAATACGTGGTTTGGTAGTTTCACCGTCGATATGGCATGGCGTTCACATGTCTGAATGGAGGTGTCGTTTGTCAGATATTCCCGCCAATTTTTGTAATTTGCTCCTCTGACATTGATGTCCAGTCCGACTCCGAAGTTCAGAGTGAAAAGTTTATGACCAGCTTGTTCATGGAGGAAAAATGTGAAAGCTCATGCTCTTGTTGACAACTTATGGCACCATCGGTATTTATTTTACTTCCAACTGTATCAAATCTTAGCAATGATTTGAGCTTCAATTTGTTTTATTTTAAACTGTTTTAAATTAATATAAATTATTTTAATGCTGCAGTTGGCTAACTTGCTGTGTTTTGATTGTTTTGTTTACCTGATTTGAATTTGAGGTTATCAACAAAACAAATAGGATTTCAGGAAACATGTACCCGTGCGTGTTTATTTTCCGCTCATTCAAATGATATTATTCAGGAAAGTCGACCTTTTTGTTACTTCAAAACTTCCAACTTATCGAGTGCTTTATTCGCGTCTCTTCTGTAGTCGCCAAATCAGTACGCCCGATGAAGGTATAATGAAAGTTCTGAACGTTGCAGAGAAGAATGATGCTGCCAAACACATCGCTGGATTCCTATCTAATGGCACATCCAGAATGGTAAGCGAACCTTAGCTTGTATCTTTCTTGTCAAATTCATCGCGCAATTCAGTAAGCTGATAATTGTAATGTTATTATCTTTATCGCCGAGTCGTGAATCTGGCATGGAGTTACAAGTTTGACTGGTTTTCAGTTTTGCAGTCACATATTGTTCCTCACTCGCATATTACTTGTCTACTCTTTGGATACATAGGTGTGTCGAAAACAGATAAGGAATTTGCTTTACCTGTTTTCGTCTTGCGTACGAGCTGAGTGAGCACCCAGATAGTGCGCAAGCAAGAAACAATATTTCAGAGCATTCGATTGTTAGTTTTATCTGTTTTGTCATCGTTTGCCGCTTAATGGACTAATCAACTTGGTCACGGCACTCTCCTCAATCATTGGAGAGGCATATCAACCGAATTATCCAGAATATTTCTGTGATCCCACTTTTTAAATTTTTCTAAATACTACGGGCTCTATCACATGGCAAGACTGACTTTCACCATACAAACACCAGGTTCATTTTTAATATTTCAGTCACCATCATTCATAATGATAGGTTCAGATATCTCTTTATCCAATGATCATCCTTTAGCTGAATTGTAAGAGGACAGTTGTGATGGCGTAACCGGACCAAGTCTTTGACTGGGCTTCAGCCGATCATGAAATTTCGATTCCCTTGTCTGCCCACAGACTGCCAGAAATATTTTTCCAAATGGGTCTCGATTTTTTTGCCTTTGAAATTTATTTTCTTCAGTGTATCGAGTCGACAAAATCTGAAAGAATCACTTGGAGCTCAACTCACTCAGTTCTTCAAGATGAATGAACTAAAAAAAAAAAAAAATTGGTGCCACACACCCTCTAGATCAGCTGTAAATATTCTGAAAGCATGGTTTTCGGATTTTTCAACTCCCTTTTTTCAACCGGAGAAGTCATGTCAAATGTGTTCACTTCTAAAAAATATCCTATGAATGAACTTAATTTCATTTATTTTTCAGCGTGAAGGACTTTCAAAGTTCAACAAATTGTATGAGTTTGATTATAATCTCCTTGGAAGGAACTGCAAAATGATAATGACCTCGGTATCAGGTCACATTCTAAATCATGACTTTGTCGGGAATTATAGAAGCTGGCAGAAAGTTCCTCCGATTTCTTTATTTGATGCTCCAGTTGTCCGAGAATGCCCCAAAGACATGGAGAATATAAAGGTGAGTTTATTGCTTATCAATGTCCTATGGTGAATTCTGGATAAATAGTTGTGTGCATTGCCACCACCTCGATTTATGACTAAGTGTGTATCTCACTCCGATCATTTAGAAAAAACGTATCAACAAGGAACGGATCTATCTGTCAAGGGTATAAAATTACATTTTGAAGTTAATTGATAGTACAAAAATAAAGTCAGGAGTACAGCTGAAAAAATGTTGTAGATTCATATAGATAATCGATTTTTGAATTTTGTTGGCTGTACTTTTGCGCAATCTAGGTCATGCTGTGTTCTCTGCAGCCTAAATTAATGTCTGAAGCAGTGTTCGAAACACGTGCCGGCCAAACTGCAATTTGCCGGTTAGAAGTCGTTTTTGGCCGCTAAGGAATGAAACTAGCGGCCAAGCCCCAGCCGCTAAAAAATCGTTGTTTAACTCCATTTTTGGAATTTTTCGGCGCATTTTGTAAGGTGCCACATCACTTTCCACACATCAACTCTTCCCTGCCGTCTCTGTCAAGTTTCATAACACATCGGGTCCTATCGTAACATTGCTGGGTGGTTTTGTATGTGGCCTCCACATATATGGTATTGGGCTTTTCAATGGGGTGTTCCTGACTCGAGACATTTGGAAAGGGAAATTTTTCATTTCGGCCCCTGAGAAATCTGAGATGGGCCCTAAGAAAAAAAAGTTGCCGGTCAAACGGCTGCTAAGACTTCATGCCGAGTTTCGAACACCGGTCCACTCAGGTGTATGGATTGTACTTACTCACTCAAAAGGTCCTTTGTGCATGCTAATGCCTTAACTCTTTAAGATTGACTGCTAAAATTTAATTTTTTCTCTCCTCATTAAAAGTTTGATGGAAATGTGTGATAGAAATACTTTATTTTTCAGAAAACTCTGGAACGAGAGGCAAGATTCTGTGATGTTCTCGTGATATGGACAGATTGTGACAGAGAAGGAGAGAACATTGGCTTTGAAATCATAGAAATCTGTACCAAAATCAAACCAAACTTACAAATTTATCGGTAGGTGCATAGTAACATCCGATCTCCCGAAATTATTTATCTAAACTGCAGGAGGCAATCCTTCAGGTCAAAATGAGACTTTATCTTTTCATGAATATGAATCTTGATTTTAAAATTCTCCTAACCACTGAAAGTTTAAGGTTGAAGTTGGTTTTTTCCAAATTCATTTCAGTGGCGGAATCTCAACTGAAATTGATGGATGCTGACAACGCCTAGGGTGAAAATGAAAATATGTCCTTGCGCCAGAGGGGGATGATTTGAGACAAAAAAACGATTTGATTTGAAAGTAAGCTTAGTCCCATAAGATTTATATGAGCCTTTATCTCAAATTTCAAGTTCTTTCCTTTTTTCTAGGGCCAAATTTTCTGAGATCACGGCTGCCTCTGTGAGACGAGCAGCAGCTAACCTTGTAGCACCTGATGCCAACACCAGTAATGCAGTCGAAGTTCGAAGAGAATTGGATCTAAGAATTGGTAACTCCCTATGATTCATAAAATTTTGACTTGGTTTCTGTATCGATGTATCAAAAAGGGGGTGAGTAGGAATTGGAGTGTGGCAATTAGTAATTTAATCTTTCATGCAAGTTAAAGTTCCGACTTTATTTTTCCGATTCCTCTTAGATTTCTTTCATCCGGTGTGATTCATCTTGTCTTTCTTCATCACTATAAACTCACAATTTGCTCCTTACATTCAGCTTCCTCTTAGTATTTGAAAGTAAGAATTTATTTTTGAGCCCTTCTGTAATGTATGTATTTTATACCTGTAAGTACCTAAAGTAGTTTTTCTGTAATTGTACTTCGTATATTTTTTTTCATTCGGAAAGCATAAATTCACATGCAAGTTTCTAGGTAGAATATCAGCTTTTGGAAGGAAACTTAAGTTTGATTTTTGTTTTATTATTACTTTGTTTGTTTAATTAATTATTGGAAGTTGTTAAAGTTATGAATTTTAACTTTGAGTTGCTGTCTTGTTTAAAAAAATAATGAGAGGAATGTTGTTAATGAAAAATTCAAGAGAAAAGTGCATGTTCAGAGTGTTCTTGCATTTTCACAAAGAAGAATTGTTTTTCTCACCTACGGTTTTTTCGTTTGATAAAGAGCTCAATCACATTTTGAGTTAAGCTCCGTTCTGTCTACACTTTTGCCTATGCTGCATTTTTATGTCGGCCTGTTTGCGAGGTAAAAGAAAATTACGTTCATTTACCAGCAGAGCAAAGATATCAAGAGATGAATTAGGAGGAGTTGAAAATGCATGCCAATCTTTTTAACACTCCTAAAGTTAAGATATTCAGACTTTTAAGCACAATATGTCTATTATTACTGGAGCAATAATATTTTTTCATTCCAGGAGCTGCCTTTACACGACTGCAAACATTGAGACTAAAACGTGTTTTTCCTCAGCAATTAGCTGACACCCTCATTAGCTACGGCAGTTGTCAATTTCCAACATTGGGATTTGTTGTCGAGAGGTACAAAGCCATTGAAAATTTCATAGCAGAACAGTTTTGGAAGATCAAAGGTACATTAGGCTTCTCTATTTATCGTGTTTTCATATTTTTTTTTTTTCATCTAAGTAATTAATTTTTCCCCCTTTCTTTTAGAGAAAATTTTGCATTTAATTATTTCACAAGAAACTTGGACTGGAAGAAACTGGGTCTTGGACTTTTGCCGATTAAATGAGGAAATGTTATAAAAGTCAAGATAAAGGTAGCCCAGAGATTCTCATACAATTAACCAGGCTCTCTCTTTGAAAAATAAATGAGTCTTCAAAATCTCTTGCATCTAAATATGCTCATAACTCTCAAGGAGGCTCATGCTTTAATCCTTAAACTGCAATGCTCATGAATAAAATATAAAAATATGCCTTTTTTATCTTTTTTAATTGAATATTTAAATTACTTAAAGCTAGTGAAAATGAAACCCAAACCCAAAGGGGTATTTGACCCTTTTGCTCCTAAATACAGATTTATCCACATAATTTCACCACATTAATTGATGTTTTTATTTTTTTAGTTGAACACAGGATTAAAGATATCAATGTAGAGTTTCATTGGAACAGAGTCAGATTATTCGATCAATTATTTTGTCAGGTTCTCTTTGATCGCTGTCAAGAAAAGCCAACAGCCAAGGTTGTCAATGTTCGAGAAAAGTCCAAATCAAAATGGCGACCACAACCTTTGGATACAATAGTAAGCATCAGAATTCATTTTGCTAAACTCTGTATTTCTATTCTCATTTGGATTTTGTGAAAAAAGTTTTTGTTTTGTTTCAGAAAAATACTGTAATTGTATTGCTGCTGTCTCTTGAATTACAATTTATAATGAAAATCGAATTAAGTTTTAAAGTAACAAGTCTAATCAGATTATTAGTTTGTGATTAATAGAAACATTAAATTCATCTCCAAAATGATTGGACCCCTCCGTATTGCTCTGACTCCTTCGATCCCCTAGCACCAAATCATGCTGGAGTCACTTTACTTGCATTTTCTTCTTAACTGTGTTAGAGCAGTAGAGAGAAACTCGACTGCTGCCTTTCATTATTCCTGTTTTCAGAGCATGTCTGCTGTTCTTTGTGGCGCTTTTCTAAGCTAATTTATTAACTCTGATTAATGTACTTAATTGCAGGAGTTGGAGAAATTAGCCAGCAGAAAATTAAAAATAAATGCCAAGGAAACAATGAGAATCGCAGAAAGATTATACACTCAGGGTTACATAAGCTATCCTCGTACAGAAACAAACATTTTTCCTAAAGAACTGAATCTAAGAGACCTCGTTCAAAATCAGTGTGCTCATGCCAATTGGGGCGGTAGGTATATTGATTTTTTTTGTCATTGGATATCATATTATTTTGTGTAATGTCGTTGCACTTAATTTTTTCAAAAATTCTTTTTTTTATATTTGTTGAGTTACCTAAGGTTCGAAAAGTATTTATCTCAAGAAAAGTAACTTTTCGATAAGTTACCTAGTCGTTGACATGCCTGCAGATTGGCACACTAATAGATAAGGTCTTTCCCGTCTTCCATTTCTTCCTTACCAAAGATTAGTTCTATTTTTTAATTATTACTTCTTAGTGTATTAAAAGTACTACCGCTTTTGAAGTTGAATTAAAATTGAAAATTATTCGGATTTGTTTTAATGTTGATGATTTTATTTTTCCAGATTTTGCCAGTCGTGTTTTGCAGGAAGGACCTAACCCAAGACAAGGCAAGAAAAGCGATCAAGCCCATCCACCCATCCATCCAATTAAATTTGTTGATAATCTGCATGGAAATGAGCAACGACTTTACGAATTCATTGTACGACATTTCCTTGCGTGCCTCTCAAAAGATGCCCTGGGCATGGAAACTATTGTTCACATAAATATCAATGAGGAAATTGTTAGTAGCTAATAATTTTTAACTTTTTACTGCCTCTTTTGAACATGAAATTCTTTGTTCTCCCAATTACCTGAACTCAAGTGAAATCTCTATCTCTTCTAAAAAACTGAAAGTTTCGATTTCAGTGTCTGATCATCCATTTAATTATTTTTTAATGCATTTTTATTGCAATCATTTTTTGATTATTTTTTATCTCTTACATTATATCTGATGTAGTGAATTTCCCCGTTGAATCATTTTAGAATCATCGATCTATCATGTATCTGGTTTTCAATTTCTTCATTCCCCAAATCAGATTCTAGATAGGGTACAAAGGATAGTTTGAGAAGTATTTGTAGCTCCCCTGTCTCGTTTTAACTCTGGAAAGAAGAATTTTACCATCATTATTAATTCACATGTGTTCAATATATGATTCAACTCATCCATATTCCTGTACCATTCTTTAGTCTGAGTCCACCCCTGCATAAATATAGTTTTAAATTATATTGTTAGATAATTTTGCCATCATTCTTTGTTCTCGCCCATTTCAGTTTGTTGCTAGCGGTTTGACAATTTTAGAACTCAACTACTTAGAAGTCTATCCCTATGATAAATGGTCAGACAAAGAAATTCATCGATATACTGTTGGACAAGAATTTACACCAACGAAATTAGAAATGACGAATGGAGAAACATCCCCGCCAAATCTTCTAACAGAACCAGACCTTATTAGTTTGATGGAAATGCATGGAATTGGTAAGTGATCTACTAATATGCTACCTTCAAGGAGACTTGCTCCTTACGGATAGGTATTGAATAAATAGAAAAATTATAATCTCAACTAATTAAGAGTGTCTTGCAGTCATTAAATTTAGCAATTGTATATCAGTTGTGAAATTACCTAACAATGTAACTCGGTGTGCAACATTGCAGGTTTTCATCAAATATTTTACTTTTTTGAAGCTTTACTAATAATTATTACTGTACAAAATTTCACTTGAAATTATTTTCCAATGCCAAATCAACCTGCAACTTTTTTCTCAGGAAAGCGCAGTATGGTTAAAAAATTTTGAAACTCTGCTAGTAAGATACTTTTTTTTGCAGTTTTACCATGCATGTATATTTAGCTCTACTTTTGAATAATATTTATTGTCTTTGAACTTCAAGGCTCTTATCTCCTTCAAGTTTTGAGATTTCAGAGTCAAATTTGTGCCAAAACTTTTAGATTTTCTTCCTGCATGCAATTGCAGAAAGTTAAAGAAAATTGTTCTGCGAACGATAGGGTACCTTTTCACAGATCCCGTCATTATTTTAGTTGATTTCAATGGTATTTTGAAGATTAGATAAAGTTTAACTCCCTTTGAATGAATGTTGCCCCTTGAATGAAGTCTCAGGGGAACCTTTTTTTTGCCTTTGTAAGTTCCATGGCAATTATTTTTATGCAATAATATCTAACCCTAGATGGCTCCAATTTTTCTTTCAGGAACGGACGCAACGCACGCGGATCACATAGAAACGATTAAATCAAGATTATATGTGGGGTTAGAGGATGGCATTCATTTCTTGCCATGCCACCTAGGAATGGGTCTTGTAGAAGGTTACGATGATATGGGTTTCTTGTTGTCCAAACCGAATTTACGGGCAGAGTTAGAAGCGGATTTAAAACGGTGAGTCTCAATAGAATCTCCTGTCATTCAAGCAGCAGTCTTTACAATTGAGAATCATTTGAAATAATCTGTATCAGATACTAAGCTTCAAGAATTCATCCTGTGTTATTACTCATTTGTCCAGCAATGGCATTTTTGCCATTGCCAGGCAATTTTTTCTAGTTCTTTGATAGTGCCTTGTAGACAAACCAGAGAGTTTCGTGTATTCAATTTCATGCCATCATTTAATTATTGTATTTTATTTTTTATTTTTGTTTACCAGTATATGTGATGGAGTAAAAAATCCAGATGAAGTTCTCAGAGTCCAAATTGAAAAGTACAAGGAAGTTTTCAGGATAGCTATGCAGCAGGTATGAATATTATATTTAGGTTAATTTAACAAGTTTTACAAGTTATTACTTAATATAAATATTCGCAGACTAAACTTGTGAATTTACACGTTAATATTTGCACGGACATGTTCTCAGTCTGAAATTCTAAGCAGTCCGAAAATTCCAACTTTCCGTAGTTTTTGATGTCAGCTGAAATTCACCTATTCCCATCAGATTCTAGCTCAGGAAAAAGGAGGAAAGGATAGGTGCTCAAAGGATAAATGCTGGTAGATGATTGTGGAACTTGAAAATATGTAAATTTTGGACCTACCTGGATCATTTATAGGTGCAGCGCACATTCCAATAATGCTTTAATTGCTCAAAAACTCTGGCACAGCTTTATTTTCTTTTTTTTATTGAGCATTTGATATTTTCACTGAGAACCCTAATTCAGGATAAAAAGTGTTTTTGTAAATCTTGCCAGAAAGACTGTACTAAAAATGACATTAATGCCTAAATTATTCTCTCTTTTAAACTGACTCAGGCTGAAAAAATTGATCGAGCTCTAGCGAAATATTACAATACTCAACCTGTGGAAGTTGGACCAGAAGCAAACCAAGTATTCGAGGTGCCGGAAGCTGTGATGAAATGTCCATCTTGTTCGCTGGATGTTAATATTAAGAAACGAAACAACGGGTCATTTTATTTGGGCTGTATGGGATTTCCAGCTTGTCGCTCTTCAGTTTGGTTTCCCGCTAATGTTATTGATGTCACCATTTCACCCAACAGTTGTCCCCAGGTGAGACTTTAACTCAACATTCAAAGGTTGTTGCTGCATGTTAGTAGTATATGCTAGGAAGATATTCAAGGAAGAAAATGCAGTGTGAAAGTTGTGGATGTCTTGTTCATTTAAGCTCAGATATTCCTGAGCTGGCTTCAAGGAATCCAAATTCATCATCTCAAAGCCCCTTCAACTGCCTTTGAGGGGTTTAAGGGGGTCCTTATTATAAAAGTGAAGGTTTCTGGCGAAATTTTGAAATAATTGTATCAAAATCAGAGAGAAAAGGAAATTTCAAGATGAAGTATGGCACAATGAAGGCCAAAATGGCCCTATCTGTGTCCAAAATACTAGGGCTGTGCGAGTACTCGAATTTCGAGTCGAGTCGAGCCGAGTATCGAGTACTCGACTCGGCTCGAAAGTTAGGTTAGGTTCGAGCGAGTACTCGAACTCGGCTCGAGTGTCAACAACACGAGTTTTTTCGAGTATATTTCGAGTTTTTTTGAGCCAGAAACGCCGAATGAGTCCAACTTCCAAATATTTCAATCATACTTCAACTAACGTTAGTTTTGCCATCATTTTACGATTGAATAACATCAGAGTCTCATCGGCAAATTTCTATCATCCGCAGCGCCAACACGCTACCGCCCGGCGATTTCCTGCCGCCCGCGGTTTGTAAATACACGGAGTCATATGAGCGCATTTATGCGCGCGACCAATTTCAACCTGCGGCGGCGACCGCCGCTTGGAAGACTGAAAGTGAGCACGTGTTTTGGACCTTTTGCGCTCCAGATAAACGGTGTCGCGGCGGCAGAAAAAAGGTGCTGCGGCTACAAAAATATGGATCGCGCGATTCCAAAAAACGTCGCGGCGACAACTGCCGCCGGCGACACGGCGACACGAATTGCGTGCATAAATGGGCTCTAAAGCCTTCACTTGTGCCGCCCGAAGTTCCTTTGATGTACGCCGCAGATTAAATCATGTTTTAAAACTCGAAATTACTCGAACTCGACTCGAGCTCGACTCGGCTTGAGGGTCATTTTCAAAGCTCGAAAAAGCTCGAACTCGGCTCGACTTAGTGAAAAAATACTCGAACTCGGCTCGAATCCAAAAAACCAGGCTCGCACAGCCCTACAAAATACTGACTCTTAAATAGGACGCTAGCGCTTTCCTTAAAGAATACTCTGTCACCACATTGACTCAAAAGCTTGGAAAAAAATTGGACACCAAGAAAGCACTTCCCTGAATCTTGAAGAGGCATCATGCCATGCTTCAACTCAATCCTATCAGTAATTTACTTTCGCGGTAGATGGTTAAAAAAAATTGTGAAAATCGGTGAATCCTAATATTTTCTGTTAAGATGTAAAGTCAACTGACCCAAGATTGGCTATTGCCCAGAGCGCATAGGTTGCCAGGCGTCTGGCTGGCACCTGTGACTAATGCAGAGTTTACAGATGTTTTGTGTGTGTTACTTTCAACTTTAAAGGACTGTCATTGAAACAGTGAGAATAAAAATTCACCGAATAGGAAGTATGAAAATGTTCAAGAGACACAGCCAACTGCGCAGCAGGTAAAAAAGTTTGTCTACAAAAAAGATTTTTGATGCCGAAGGACAGTCACTTTGGGACACTTTAAAGGCCCAAGTTGACATAGATGCGGCATCTTAAATGACTTTTTTGAAAAATAGGCATCTTTAATAAAAGTTACCAAGTTGTGTTTGTCTCTACATTCTTTGGATTTTTCTGACTGAATTGTCATGAATAATTAGAAAAATCATTTTCCTGCATTCTATTTCCTCTTTTACACTTTTTAATGATTTATTGTTTTATCTATGCTGCTTCTCAGTGCGGTCCTACGATAAAGCAGTTGAAGCTCAAATTTACACCAGGATCTATGGCTCCATTTTATCCTAATGAATATACGGGTTGTGTCAATGGCTGTGATACGCATCTCATAGATATGTTAAATATTAGGCCTTTGCGGCGAAATCAAGGTGGAGGAGTAGCAGGTAAGCTCTTAGATTTTCATACCAGTTATGGGACTTTCATTATTATAGTATATTATTTATATTAACCACCAACATTTTGAGTATTGCCCATAGCTGAAAACTTTTTTGGGCTTTGAAGAACAAAATAAAATGTTTTAAACTGAATTAAAACTTTGGTCATTCTTGTGCTCTATTTAAAGTTTGCTTCCATTTTAAGGAAAGATACCTTTGCAACTCCATTTTAAAAAACCTAATTTTTTTAAAAATTAGTCACTAAGTTCAACGCCGTTATTTGTTGAAAATACAATCCTATTCAGTGGAGGCTCATAGTGTCCACTGTCAGATTATAATTTATTTATATTCTCTTTTGATGCAAGAAGGAACCCAACTGTTTTCAACTTATTTTGTGAGATATTAGTGAGTATTTGCTGCAGAAAACTCAAATTCTAATTTTTATCCACCCTGAGAACCATCCCTCAATTGACAAATTTTTCGCAAAACATTGAGGTCTCTTTTCGCCCAAACAATCTCGTATCAATGAATCAGGAGTCTAACCGGGGATCAAGATGTTATATCTCATTTCAGTCTTCCTTGCGCAAGTAGTTTTTATCTTAGAGACATCTGTATGCATATTCTATTCATTTAAACTCATCAGTTTAATGTTGTGTTCATTTCTTAGGTCAAGCCAATCAAATCGTGAGACCGGTAAATCCAGTTGCTCCTGCTGTTCAGCAGAATAATCAATTCAACAACAACAGATTCCAACCTCCTCCACCACCTGTACCGCCTCCTCCAAATCAACAGAACTTCAGAAATCGAAATGATAATAATGGTAATTCACTTTTACTTAATTGGAGAAACATTAGAGTGACATTGTTTCATGCATGATCGTACGAGGATAGATAAATGCATATATAAGTCTGGAGATAGTTCTCTTCGGCAAGTTTTCAATTAATTGATTGTCATCAAAAGATATATGACACAGCATCTTAGAACATGAAATCTCATGCTACTTGGCTCTGAAGATCTGTCTCTTATTCGGTTCCGCTCAAACTGCAATTAAAACTGAAAGTGGCCTGAACAATAAAGACAGTAGCACGCACAATCCTAGTGTGGAAACAAGTCATGACCGAACCTTGGTAGCTAAAATACAACTATTAACGTACATATTATTAAGAGAATAATTTTTGTAGCCTGACCTCTTACATACAATGAACTCAAAATGCAGGGTCAAGGCCAAAAAGCATATTGATGGCCAAAGTTTTCGACGCTGTAGACTTCCTGGCACACTTTATTTTTTCCTTGGAAAACGAGTAAATATAATTTCTTGAAGGATTCTTTGTTACCTTCTATCAGTGGAAATCACTAGTTAATTATTTTTACTCTCATTCAGATGAATTTTTAAAGAATTTACATATGGCGAATGGAAGAGAGAATTGAATTAATCTCATTCAGCATAGGCTTTTTGTAGGACATAGGGTCATGATAAGCTTTACAGTAGTAGATGACCAGAAGAAATGTACCAAGTAAGCGAAAATTTGAAAATGCCGAATTTACCTTCCTTTTATTTATTTATCCTTTCAAATATCTCATTTAGGTAATTTTTTATTTGTCATACCCTTATATCGTCATAAAAAATGTCTGTCTAAAATCACTCTCATCGAGGACCCGTTTACTTTTGCAGATAACCCAGACAACGTCACATGTAACTGTGGAATACCTGCAAAAAGGTGAGGCTGAAGTTGAAATAATCGTATTCTGCAAAAGCAAGCATTGTAATAAAGGATGTACATATGTACATTTTCAAAGAATGTATTTATTTCAGATCATACATTTTCTGGTATCAGACTCACCGTTTTTTTTTCTTCTTATTGTTTCCACTCTCACATTAATTTTCATTAAAGACCTATTCATGGTCAGTGATAATATTNGGGGGGGGGGGGGAGGGTTCACTTTTTAAAATACCATCTCAAGGAGTAAGAGTCTCTTTAAAGCAAAATAATTTAAGGAATAAATGTGTGCAATCATGAGAAAATAAAATGGACAATAGTCAGGCTATTTTTTTCACGTTTACTCGTATGTCCTAATGTTACTAACTCCCTTTATCACAAAATCTAGCACACATACACCAATGAAAATTCAACATACAGGCAAAGATAGGAATGGAAAATTTGAAACATAAGATAAAATAATATTTATGTTTTACAAATTATTTATCTTTTGATGTCAAAGTTTTCAAATCCCTTTTTTTTCTCGTAGATTTACAGTGAGGAAAGAGTCTCCGAACCAAGGGAGACCGTTTTTCTCTTGTTCCAAAGGTATGGACGAAAAATGCACTTTCTTCCAATGGGCAGATATTGACCCCATGCAGCAACAACAACAGCAGCAAAATGGATTTCGGAATAATGATAATCGAAATAGGTTTCCGCAGCAGCGAAATTTCAACAATAGACAAGGTAAGACAAAAGTAGTCATAATGAGGGAAAACTGAAATTTGTGTGTTAAATTCAAGTAGGCACAAAATAGAGACTCAACATGGAATATTATTTTTCTCTTATCAATGTACCACACAAATAGTATTCTTATATGCATTATTGTAAAAAGTTGCACATAAGGTCATTGCAACTTTTGTACTCATAAAGTTATAAAAGAGAATGACCTCGGAAGTAAAAAAATTTACTACAAAGTGAAACCACGATGCAGTATGTTCCATTTAAAGTTAACATCAGATTTTATGTCTGTTAAGCTATTATTATCAAAGGCAGCCTATCAGACTCAAGGTGCGGCTCCTAGTTTCATCTGTAGACGTTCTTCACCCTTGAACTGTTCCCGCATTTGGTGTAAAAGTTGATTCTGTTCCGGGTCGATTAAATCAATTAAATTTTACAGTTAATTGTTTGGGTATTTATTTTGGGCAATGTTCAGAAATCTGCAGGGTTAATCATAGATTTATGCCTATTATGGTAGAAGTGGTTTTAGTGATACATAACTAAAACTTACAGATGGGGAAAAACCAGTATAAATGTAGGTCTCAAACAGGTTAGAATTGAAGTGATTTGTTGAAAATAGTTGACAAGATATTTATTTGAATGGAAGGGGCCAGTGCATGGATGTATCAAGTAATATTTTTAGGAAAATTGAGATATTACTGTACGGTAACTCTCTTATTACTTCTAAAAATTTAGTGTTTAAATTAAATTTTCAGTATCCAAATATATTCAATTTCAGTTTTACTCAGGGCACAAGGCCAGATGTAAGTCTATGCGTGTAACTTTTTTTCGCATAATGGCCTATATGCCCCAAAACATGTTCATACATCAAATTCCTTAGATATTTAATGCGAAGGTTTGTGATTCGCTGGTAGTCCCTTCCCCTGATCATTCTCCTTGTATATTTTAGTGGTGTGCTTTATCTCTGAAAACATCAGTCTGCCCCCTCTCCCCCTCCAGTCATTGCATAATGCAAGAACACACCATTACAGTTTTACTCCCTTCATCCGAAGACTTGAGTATGTAGATTTACCATAAAAAATCTCTCTAAGAAAATCTTTTAATCACAGAGGACGACCAGTAAATGTGATATGGTTCCAGTAGACTATGACTTTTCCAAGCGAACATTTATCAAAATGACAGACACATGAGACCTTAATAAGACCGATTAACAATGTCATTAAACGTTTATCAAAGTGATGGACACTTGAGATGTTTATGAGACCAATTAACAATGTTATTTCAAAGTTGAAAACTTCATATTTGACTTTCGTTTCATTTTCTGCCTTTCATGCTGTTGTTATAGTTTCACTCGATCTCCTTGCAGGTAATCAGCACGGAGCAGGTGGAGGAGATAGAGCGAAACGGAAATGTTCCAATTGTAGGCAAGAAGGTAATATGTTGCTCTTAACCATTTTATCAATTGCATGACAATAAATTAGAAATGAAATTTTGTCATTATTTTGAGTTTTGCCCATAGACAGCATCCGTGAATAGTAAAGAGCTAAGCAAATGTACATTTCCAAAAATTATCAGTACGTACAGAAAAATCGATAGGAGATATACTGTTCCTAAAATTAGTAAAAAAAAAGTGGGTACATATTCTGTTAATGCAATCCTGATGATATGATCGACTGCTCCTTAGGCGCATTTATTTTTTAACAAGTGTGTACAGATAACGAGGAATCCACGTAATCTTGTCTGCACTGGAGAGTGTCATGGCTTCTGTGGCAGTTTTATCATGCTAATTTTCTCTCTTATGTTTTTAGGACACACGGTGAGGAATTGTCCAAATTGAATAATCTGAACAAGTAAAAACCGTGTCTTGCAGGCGATCTCGGAACCTTTAGAAGGGAGAATGATTCAGCCAGTCTCTGAGTGCTTCATCGACCCGAGATAACCATGAGAGTGAGAGCAGTGCTCCTACTTCTCTCATATCTGTGAAAGTGAATGAAAGTTGACTTCATTCTTTTTTCTTGACTTCCTTCCCGTTAAAGTTTTTCTATTTGTTAGTCCCTAATATGATCTGTATGAGTTTCTTTCGCAGTTTAGAAGCAATACAAGAGTTCGAAAAAGATTCGCCTGAAATGACCATTATGTGTGATGTGATGTTATGATGTGTTCACTGTGTTTGAAGTTAAATTTTGATGTGGAAACATGTATTGCAATACTTAGGTTCTCACCTCGCGTAGTAGTCAACCGCATTTATCGGCCACTGGTGTGATGAAAGAAGGTAGAAGGTAGTAAACATTAACGTAGCGGATGACATCATCCACTGTTTTCTTCATAAGGCAAAGGTTTTAAAGCAGTAAAATTACCATGTTTTGTTAAATGTAGCAATGAGACTTCTTTTAGGTTTTAACGAAGAGCCAGGCACATTTTCTTGAATTGGCAGGTTCAGAGTGATATTGGTCAAATAGGATGAAAAAGTGTTGACTGCCTGTGTGCTTACCTTGCTTGTGTTACCTTGTTTTTATCACTAAAAATGCTTTACTTTAAATCATAAAAATCTGCCGCCTCTCACCATTTTTTGGCTCAGGATATGAAGTATAGTGGCTTTGTCATTAAAGTGTGCTAGTGTTCATCTGAAAGAATGCTAAGTTTTATGAGGCGAAATATCTGTTGTGTTGACTTTATTACTACAAGAAATAAGTGCACACTAGATGCTTTCAGTCTAACAACTGGATTGCATTTTGCAAAAAGGAATCAGGAGCATTGCATTATTGCTAAGAATGTGCAACTTCTTTTGTCTCGGAAGAAAACACTGATTATGTATGAACAGTTTCTATTTGAATCGCTACACAGAATTGCTAAAAACTGTTAATTTAGGACAAAAATTACCGTGTAAATTCATATTTTTTCAAGGTTTCAATAGTTTTATTGCAATGGATGAAGTTGCACAATCTCAGCAACATTGAAAAAGTCCTGGTTCCTTTTTGCAAAATGCAATCCAACCATTAGAGCAGCTTCCATATGGGTCAGCCTCCACAGGAAATATACATGGTTCTTCTCAATTACGATGCAATTAGATTGTAATGAAATTACAATTTTTCCTATGTCCTCTACGATGATGAATAAATCGCGATTAACTTGCAAATTAATGATCATTGACATTAGAGAAGCAGTGAAATAATGGAATGGTTGCACTTCTATCTTTAGATAGAGAAATTTAAGAAATTTATGATTTTCTTTCAATGTGATAATGGTTCTCTCCTTGAAGATAGCTTTTTGGTCTAGGAAAGTAATTTCTCTGAATCATTGCTTACACAGTGCATGTTCCAAGTAGCATTTTTCAACAGGAAAATTGGGATTTCTTGCAATTTTATCGGTAATGAAATCGCTAGGGTCATATACATCTGAGCGATTATCCTCGATTTTATGGGGATAAAATCGCGATTTTATCGAACAAAAAATTGCGATGTGTTGCGATTAAATCGCCATATATCGCAATTTTTAATGCGATAATATCTCGATATATTGCCATTGCCACCAATATAATCGCATTAACCAACCAATAAAATCGTTATTTATCGCGATCACTGCTACATGGGGTATGGTTGTATTAAATTACAGTGCCTGAAAATTTCTTCAGCCATCGTACTCTTTTCAATTATCATTTCTCTTACAATTATTATGTCATTCCTTTTACCATATTTGAAAGGTTACTTCTAATTTCAATGGAGAAGCTTGCACATTTACCGTATAAGTTTCTCGTTATAAGTACCTCTGTGCCTCATTTCTTTACCATCATAATGTTTATTTTTTAATCTGTTAAACTTTTTTAGCATCATAATGTTTTTATATCAAATGTATATTGTTCCTATGACATTTTGCTTGTTTTTTTTCCAATCAACTTACCCAGTATAAATTTAGAAGTACATTCCCCCACTTCTACACACTTCTGTGGAATTGAAGCATCAGGTGCAAAAAGGGCATTTCTTGGTTGCGAGGTTCCTGAATTTTCATTGCTGATTTATGGAGCTAGAGAGACTGTTGTGTGAATTTCTTGAAATTTTTCGTTTTCAGCTTTGTAAAATCATGAAGAAAATTCATTAAAAGTTTCCACGAATTCCATACATTTGCTTTAATTATAATGGATGAACTGTCAGCGGAGATTCCGAGACACCGCGACCAAGAAATGCCCTTTTTGCGCCCAGTGCTTCAATTCTGTAATGGTCCCTTTTCAAGGGGGTGAAGAGAAAAATTTTGACTTCGGTGTGTGTTAGTTTGGGGAGGTGCCTTGATTACATTTGAAAAATTGATATGATTAATAATGACCAAAAGTACAAACAACTTAATAGGTCAAAAAAAATTTTACAATGAAACAAGTCAATCACGGTTTTTCACCTGTTTTTTGCATTAGCATAGGTATGCATTCTAGTGCCAAATATTACCAATGGTATTTTTTTTAAAAAGAAGTATTCCAATTTCGAGTCTGGTTAAAACTTGAAAGATTAGTTTCTACCAAAATTGACGTGCTTCATCTTCCCTTACAAGGAAGAGGGGAGCAAACTCGTAGGTATAATTTGGTCGCTGCTACATTAAAGGCTCACTTAAAAGGCAGGATAAAATTCATACAAATAAGTTACAAATTTATTAACAGGGTTTTTTTTTCAGTTTGCGCCAACACGTATTTTTGTACATAAAATAAAGAGAAATAACAATTGATTACTTTTTAACAACTTGGATCACATCTTCATCGTCCATAACATGCTGAATTCCTACTCTCTGAGGCGAGTATTTTGTGCTTGTGCCCTGCAACATAAAAATTGTAAATTCATAAACCTCAAGGCCCTCATCTTTTTGGTTTACAGTTGACAGCAAGTTGCAAATTTAACTACTAAATTCGACTGTGAAAGGAGAAATTATATTCTAAACTCAAGCTGTACACAAGTTGAGCTCTGTTCACAGCAGGCTCAAGCCATTATTAGTTCCTCAACAGTACAAATCATTAATCAGCGATTGAATAACAAAGTTGACATGATTGCCACAATTTTCAACCATACAAAACTGCCAACAAGAGTTGGGCTCAGGTATGAAGTTTCTGATGACTGTTCCTTCAGAGGAGCCCAAAAAAAAAGAAGAAAAAAAATTCAATCAGTGTATTCTCCCAACTAGGTACTGTAATGAAGGCTATAAGATTGTAATTGAAGGTAAAAGTTTTGTAGTAATAAAAACCTCAGTATTTGGTAAATTTTGAAGAGAAGCCAATGCTCTTGAGAAGGTGTAGGAGGTTGTAGCCAGTCTGAAGAGTGTGTTTAGTGTAACGATCAGAGAGGCGGAACAATCATCAGGTGGCATCATCTAGACTGATGTACCAACTGGGTTTACATTGTTTTCTAAGGGTTAGGCGTATACACTTTTACCCACTTTTTTATATAGTTCAGCACTGTCTACTAGTAATAGTAGTAACCTCATTTTCCTCCCATTCCTGAGCCAGGGCCTCCTGCCTGAAGGAGAGGACTAAAGGAGATTTGTTGAACTACTAGTGTTATATTCCATTTCATACTGAGAGGCAACTGAGAACAGACTTGTAGAGCACAACCATAATCGCATTGAGTCCAACTATGTTGCTTCAAAATCTCACACATGGATAACGCTGGTAGTCGCGTTCACCACAAGAGATCCTCAGTTTAATCACAACACAATCGAACAGCACTGACAAACTACTACTAATGGTCATATTCTTGCCCTGCTCTGTTACCTCTAAAGGACGGACAGAGTATTGGAATGGTTTGGTCATCTATCGCCAAAATGACTTCTTTTCAAATGACGATAAAGCCTGTCATCATCAGGAATCAAACCAGGGATCTCAGTAGCGGCAGCAAACTATCTTGACCACTACACCACAAAGGCTCACGTTGAGTACTGTATCATTCTATAAATCAGTGCTTCAGTCACCCAGAATCATGGCATTTGCAAAAGAGTAAAAAAAATTTAAACCAGGGTGCTTCGTTCAATAATTTTTCTGGGCGCTTGTAAAGACAGTATTCACTTAGGTGAAATACAGCTCCAAAGAAATTAAAATATAAGAAAAACTTAACCAAATGAACTACTGCATAGGTGCAGGCTTCACATATTCCATTAAAAAAAGATAGATCACTACTTTAAGTAGCAGAAAATGGTCTAGCTCGATGAGAGATGGCTCCGTCAAAATATGTATTCTTACTTCACTTTAGAAAACTAAGACCAGGTTTTTATTGGCTCTTACTGCAAGAAAACTTACTGGTTAAAATAAAATAAATTTAAAAGTAATTAATCTAAAATTTAGAATAAAAAGGAGGTGAAAAAAGACTCACCCAAACGAGGGCATATTTAAAATTAGCAGCTAAAGTTCTATGAATGGTATGACAAACATGTTCAACTGTTACGCCACGCCTCAAAATGAGACCATCATCAAAGTCGGGTGGCTGTCCAGGTTTTTTAGTGTATACTCTGATTAAAGATAGACATTCCCAAAGTGTATCCAATAATGAGTCCAAATTCAGCTTCATGTTACAACTGAAACATCAATAAACATTACACATTTTGATGCAATGATAGTTAAATACAAAGATCTTCGATTAAAAAAATTTAAAGGTAGCTGTGCCCTCCAGACACCAAAACTTTGGAATCTATAAAGTATCCCATTTGTTGGATGAAATTGTCGGATGAAACAGTTGAAGTTCGATCTAAACTTTTTGTTTTTAAAAATTAGGTACTTCTTCCTTCAAAGGATGTACGTATAAGGTTTGCAATTCTGCTCAGATTCGGCAATTTGCACAAAACAAACTTCACTTACTCAGAATCAAATTATTTTCATGGAAAACTGAGAAAAATTCAGGTTGTATGCAGGGAAAATGTACCAAACCCAACTTTCAAATATCTAGGTCAGCTATAGATACAGGAAAAAGTTGCATAATTTTAGCACTGCAAGTCTCTTTGCTCTCTTACCACAGAAGTCCTCAATTGTTACTATCCACTGATAAGCTGAAGGAGTGAAAAAATACGACAACTCACCTTACAACAACACTGTTGGGTTGCCGAGCAATCCTGTCCACTTCTTCCAGGGAAATTTGATCTATTTTGTTATACACATACATACATGGAAGATATACTCGATTGGCAGAGATAACATCAATTAGTTCATCTGCAGTGCAGTCTTCACGGAATAGGACTTCAGCGTTGAATATTTTGTATTCATGCAGGATCATTTGGACTAGTTTTTCATCCACTTTAGTCAGTAAACATGTTGAGTTGAATGCTATACCACCTCCTTTTTTTATCTGAAAAATAAAAATTCTTTGTTGATTTTTTGGACAATATCAGATGCATTGTTTAAGTCAATAAAGTTAGCCGTCAACAGGTGCACTCAACAATAAATAAGTAATTTTTCATCAGCTTTTAGAGAGTACACGTTTGAAGTTTTCAGATTTTGTCTGTTTAGTATTAAAATAATGTCTGCTTGCTCCTTCTAAGTAATCGACTCGAGTTAAAACGCACACTGAGCGTTACCGTTAGTTACCGTGGTACTTAGTATGAAAATATTACAACTTCTACAGCAGCACTTCGGCTTAGTTATTGCGCCTTGTTTACACTTTGAGAGACTTAGGATGGGGAAGGTACACTGCTTTCATTGGGAGGCCCGCAAAAAACTGTTGTAGTTTGCCATTGATTCCTTTAGACTCTGGTTTTTCATGTAAGCAAGAAATTCAAATTTTTCCTGACCAGTGCTAAATAATCCATTATTACATTGGATGGGAATTAATTTCAGTAATTTTCAATTCGCAAATCAAGGCTCTGATTGATTTATTACTCGCTTAAAGCGTATAATGAAATTGGCCGAAGAGACATCAACTGCGTCAGTAAATAAGTTACAAGACTGCAGGATGCAACCTTAAAATTTTCATTTTAAAAAAAACAAAAAACCATAAAAGTCTTTAAATTTGATACAAATATCCAAACTGTTGCGTTTTGAATTTTGGAAAAAGCTGCTTCTTGGAACAGTGTAGTGATCCTTCTTTACATTAAACATGGGGTCAATTTCACAATTTTATTCAAGGTCACAATTGTTTCAAGATAAAGGCAGTCCTTCGAATTTAGCAACACAAAGTTTAGTGACTCTTTTTCTCTTTTTGCAAGAACTGATTGATTCCTGCAAAAAGTGACTCAGTGAATACTTGAGTGACAAGACTTCTAATGAGCAGACGATACTGTATTCCTTGCAAAAAAAAGTTACTTTTGCCACTTTAACTTGTCACTGATAAATAAAAGGAAAGGAGAGAAATATCCAAACAGAATCAACAGATTAGAAAATGAAGGAAGAAAAGATGAGTCCTACCTTAAAATAAATATTAGGTTTTTGTTTGTTTAATCTGATTCCAACGCTTTCTAACTCTTTCTCTAGCAGTGATCTTTGGACGTCTTGTTTGGTGGCATCTAACATCATCAAGACCAAGTCTGCAGTTCTTGCTACTGAAATTACCTGGAACAATCGACAAGAGAATTGTAGTGGAATATGATGGGATCAAGTTTTTTTCATCATTGTAGTGAAAGATCAATCGATGTCAATAGTCAAAAGATTAAGAATTCCCATGAACTTGTTTTTTCAAGATCCTAGGGGGCATTTTTCTTAAAAAACTGAAAAATCATTTTAATTTTTTTTTTTAAAAGCTCATATCTGAACAGTAATTGGTCTTTGGCAAGTTTTGCCAGTAAGAATTGCAGATCCTTATCTCTGAGGAAGCCATACATATTTTTTCTTTAAAATATCATTGCAGCTACATACACAGGGTTGCAACAGGATTTAGAATATGAATTTCCCTGATTTCTTTAACATATTTTGGTAAAATTTACTGACAATCGAAGATTCACCTAACGGTTAAAAAGACGTACTTTAAAATAGTTTTCAGGCAAATTTTTTTGTTCAAAACGTCAAACCTATTCTAAAAAGCAAATAGAGGTGAATTAAAAATGTTTATTTGACACAATCGTCATTTTCCCTGACATTTCCCAGTTTTCCCTCATTGAGACAACCTAGCATACAACTGATCTCATGAAAGAGCTGTTGCAGAGGTGCAAGAAATGCCCAATCTCTCGTGATTCTTGGATTGCAGCAGTCATGTGACAAATTTTAGAACATTGAGTACATTGTGAGATGTGAGGCAATATCATAATTTCACAAAAGAGGTCTTGAATATGAAAGGGTCCTAAAATGCTGAGAGGTAAAAACAAAGACATAAAGACGGAGCACTAAAAGCAAAAAATGAAGCTACTTTTCAACCACCTCTACTATTGGCTAGAGGATTGGCGGCGAAATCGGGACAAGTTTGAAATTCAAATGTAGGGCGGGAACTGAATAAAATTGCGTAAACAAAGTATTCTAGGTTGATTTTTGCCCAAATTCACTTACCTACATATATTTTTTTAACTTTAGGTTATTTTTGTTCCGTCATCAACCAATTAATTTCATTTGGGAGTAACGATCATCTAGGACTGTAACGGCCTGTTTAAACCGGCAGGACCACCATGAGCAGAAGACAAACTAACTTTATCTGAGATCCTTGCTTGTTATCGAGCAAAAGTAAGTGTCTTATAAAAAATCGCAGTCCCAACTTTCTTAATATACTCGTTTCAGGCATTTAAAACACATTTAGAAGAAGAAATGTGGAAAAATCAAGAGGACAAGTTCAAATCGAATTTCCGTTTGCCGCCATGGATTCCTGCGCTCATTAACACACTCACACAAGCACCCAGCACCAAACCAGGCTGCACTCTTTCCCCATGCTTTTAGATACGAGCACTCCGTCTTTATGTCTTTGAGTAAAAACATAGAATTGCAAGAAACAGTTTGTATTTTGGAAGTTTTTAGGCCCCTGAGCTAGAGATTCTTCATACCTGTCGTCCTCGACCTTTGCCTTGTGAGGCACCTTCAATGATACCCGGCAAATCCAAAAGTTGAATGTTGGCTCCTTTGTATTCAATGACACCTGGGATGCATGTTAATGTGGTAAATTCATAGGCTGCAGTTTCACTTTCGGTTGAAGTCAAAGTACTCAGAAGCGTTGACTGAAAACATATGAATCACAATCTGCACTAAGCATTATTGGTCAGAAGGAGGAAGTCTCAATGGACCCCGAGTCCAATGTTTCACAATTTTTCCAACAGGAAAAATTATTTAAATTTGAGCGAAAATAAACTGAGCCTCTTGGGGTGTGGAATATTATGGTTTAAGCAGGTTAGACATGAGAGAAAAGGAGCTTGAGCACATTGAGGTGTTTGATGAAGGGAGGGGGGGGGGGGTTAGAAAAAAATTACCTACTTAAGTATCTTTAGGAGGAAGAGAAAGAAAAAAAAGGAGGTGTCGCCATCTTGAGGATTGTTTACTTTGTGATGTAGGTCGGTACAGCATGGCCGGCAAAATCTGGGAATCGAATTATGAAAAACGGACCATTAAGTCAAATTTATTTGCTTAAATCAACTTATGATATGATTTCAAACACTTTCTATGAAATAACTTTTTTCCAGAAACTACACCATTTCCAATAGAGTTCCATTTAAGAAAATAGTTCCAATAAAAGTCGTCCGTACTGATCTACGTCGTCAAAAAAATCCAAGATGCCCGAAAGGCAAACACCTCCTTTTTTTCTTTACGGTATTCAACTTCTTAAAATTTTAGAGATGAGCTCATTTCATGCAAATTATTACCACAGCAAATAGCAAAAAGGATACCTCAGTCTTAAAGTCACGTATGCTTTGCATTTAAGGACGATCATAGAAAACTCAACCATTGTTGGTGACTCTCTAATTACTAATGAATATTAATCAATTAACTCTCCTTAGATCTCTCAACTACAAAGTTATAACAAAAATCGGTCATTTTTCATGTTAATTTTTTAAAGGATTTTTCAAAGGGTATTGTTGGGGGAGGGAGATGGGTGCATATTTGCTAAGTTACAGAAAGTTCAGAAGAAGGAAAACAGGGAAAGCTGCTTTTCAGTCAAAATTTATTGTACCTGTTAGAACACACCTTTCAAGGGTAAGTAATGTCTTATTACAAAAACATGTCCAGTCTTCCTAAGTGAGAACTTAATTAAGTACAATTAATTTTGATGAAATTCTAGTGGGAATTTTCAAATACAAGCCACTGGCTTAAAAGAGAAATCAAGGATATTTCAGAGTAAAAATTAACAATGGATTTGACATATTTTTTCATATTTTAAAATTATGACCATGGAAACTTTCTCTGATTACATACTTGGAGACCCTCTTATTGGCGCTTGAAGTGAGGGAACAATCACTCAAACAGACAGGAATATTATTGTGTAATGAGGGTTTTATTGGCCTTGGGCACTCAAGAAATCCAAAATAAAATTTCTTTGCTGTAGAATGTCATCTCATAGTGAAAGCACCTGCTTTGGAAGAATCATCCACATTGAGCATTTTCATTTAATTATTAGTGCCCAGTCAACTCTGAATAATTGAAAAAAAGTTTCAGTCAACGTTTCAAACAAAACTTTAGACGTTCTGCAAAACGTTGACAAAAACTTGGAAAAAACATCTTTTTCAACGTAGTAAGTAATTGCCACTTTGAAAAATTTTGCAGTGGCGCTTCTGAAATCCAAGGCACCAAAATGGTGACTGATGGATTTCTATCAGTGGTTCAGCTGATTTCCGCCGATCAGAAATTACATCGTTTGTTGGGAGGAAGAATGAAAATTACCTTTCCAACAGATGGAAAACCGATGAGAGCTACTCGAGCATCACCAGACTTCAGGACATCAAAACCTTCTCCTTTACTTGCATTCTTTGGAGGCTCTAGTAACTGAGCACGGTACTTGGCAAGCTTTGCTTTTAATACTCCCAGATGGTATTCAGTTGCTGGAAAAAAACAGTTTTTTAAGACTTAGCACAGACACGTTAATATTTCCTATTCAGGGTGAAAAATCTCCAGGTGAAGTTGTGCAAGTAGGAGAGCTTTCGGTATGCTTAGTTTTGAAAAATTTCTGTACTCACTTGCAATGGAAAATTAATTTAAGAACGCATTCGCAGCCTCCTCCAAAATGCATTCTAAAATAATTTTTAGGAGGAATAGAGTGCGGAAATTTTTTAGAGTTTTATTCAATTCAGCTTGTTCTGACTCTGTTAATGATTATCATTAGCGAGCTTTCGATAATATTAATGAAACTATCAGTCATAGAACATAGAATCAGTGTAATCTAAGAGAAAATGCAATCCTATCTACTTCGACTTGACGATTTTGGACTTGGTCTACTCTATCAGCCTTTAATTGATGAAGGACTGCCCACTTATACCGTTAAGAGATAAATTTATAAAAATCCAAGGAGACCAGGCTCTGCTGGACAATAACTCTGTTGTAATAGGGCATATACGTCCAAGATTTCCCTGTTCGTCTGCACTTAGTGGGAAGGAGCTTGTATCTCACAGCAGAACTATTTTATGTTTAGGAGTGCGTGTTTTGAGTTTCTGCCATCAACTTAGTATAAGCATTGTCTGTAAATCATTTTCAACTTGATACCAAAGTCCTGATTTAACCTGAGGAATGAACAAAATATATTTCAATGCCTTTCGAGGCTTCACTTCATGCTGCCTCAGAGAGGTTACGAGAATGCATACCTTTGTTCTTCTGAGTTCGCGAGATTTCCTTCTCAATTTCTGAGATTTTCTCTAGGATACCCATAATGATAAACTGCTGCGCACTGGGTCAAGAAATAACCATGTAAATACGACTAAAAACATAAAAAAAAAGCTAAGAATTAATACGAATACTGCGACACGACGGCGGCTACCATCATGAAATAAACACATACTGAAGCCCTGTTCACACTGACCAACCATGACCAATGTAGAATGTAGTTTTTGGTTTTTACGTACGCATCAGAATAATTTCAATAAGGGATTTTGCTGTTTTCATAATTCCATATCAAAAACTGCAGAGAAAAGTTACTCACGTGAAGTCTAAGTCAAAAGAGTATTTGGAATCTTTTGTCTAATATTATTTTTCAGTAATGTCTTATCATCACTCATAATCACTTATCTTATGACAGGTGTAAATGAGCCTTACACTGATAAGCAAGGTTTGTATAGGTTATGTTGTTATTATCTGCCGATTTCAGATTTATGACCATTACGCCGATCGTGGTTGACAATTTCTCTGTCTCAATTTACTAATTTTGATTATTTTAAGTAGAAACCTGTTTTATTCATTGACAGATCTCTACCACATAGTAATTTTTACATAATATCATTGCATTCGAGCTTTTGCCCTATTTTGTCTTTGAATGTTCTTATCATATAGGGTGTCTGTCAATAATGGGCATAGGAAGGAAGCCAGAATTTAGTTTAGAAACAGTGTAATTTTCGCACTAAATACCTCATATAAGACAGCATTGTATGTCGTTATTTCAAGTTAAAATTCCTCATAAATCTTCGGTAAGTATTAAATTCGCTTGGCATTTCTTTTATTAACTTTTTCAATGATCACAACATCTCACCTCGGCTCTTCAGATTCATGCATTTTTGAGCTAACTGTCCATTGTATACCATACCATCATTTTCCATGAAATCAGAACATTAAGTCATAGTCAAATAAGGAATTAATGTGATATTCCTATGAATTTTCTTGAGCTCTAGGTTTTGAAAATTTGTTGACAGGTTTGCTAGGAAAATCATTTTTACTGAAGTATCTTAAAGGGCATGCTATCTATGGACTATGCAACACCATTTTTCTGGTTTTTGACACCTACCCACCCCTTGCAACACAACCATAATACTTGTCCAGATACTCCTAAAATAACTACGCAACATTTGCTTAGAATCCCCACCTTTTTTTACAAAAAAAAAAACAAACTCCGAAGCAATTTTCTCACTGGGAAAAGGGGAGGGTATAGCTTTTGCCAATTAGAGGAGTCTTCTGCTAAGTTAATGGTTGTTTACTTTCGGTTTGCAAGCGTTTCCGCGTCACTACTATCCACATGAAAACATCCGACTCTCGCAGGAGCAAGAACACAAGCTTAGATAAGTTTTTTAATACCTTCAAACCTTGTAACACTTTTATTTTTAGCCACACAGAAATCACAACCACATAAAAGTCGCAAATCATAACTGATGAGTAGTTTTTTTACAATACAATCATGAGACGGATGTTTTCAAGGTGGATAGTAGCGAACGCCGCTTTGTGCAAAGGCCGAAATTCGTAGTTGGCACTTGCAAACCGAAAGTAAACAACCCTCAACTTAGCTGACGACACCTCTATTAGGCTCTGTGCTTCAGGCAGCAAGAAAGTGTATGATTAAAAAACTAGCTTACAAAACCCCCAAGATTTAATAAAAAGTTGAAATCCAGTATACTTATACTTTACGTCATGCCGAGCTTCACACCTCATGACCCCTTGTCACATTCGGTGACCAAATTATGAGGACTCACCCACCCCCCAGAGCATTACCAACCTCTAACCATTTTTTGCACACCTCATTAAATTGAGTGATTTTGTCAAAAATTGGCACATTTTGGCCGTCCAGAAGCCAATTTTATTTGAATTTTAGCATTTTGCGAATAGGTAGCAGCAGAATGTAGTGACATTTTTATTCTAAGATCATATAGATTTGCCTTAAGTTTGCCATCTTAGTGTCCTTATTCTCGAATCAGCATGAATGATGAGCTCATAAAGTCTGTAACCTGACTATTTTTTGTTTTGCTTTTCAGACATGGATACTCGGAAAATCATCTTTGTGCTGTCGCAGGAAAATTCACTTTCCTTTTGTTCTGAGTGTCTGTTCCAACTTGAGCCCAATGTTGGTTGCTCGGTTTTTCTTCCATCAAAATCAGTGTATTGCCTAGATTGCTATCTCACAATCAAGAAGAGGATCACTTATTTTAAACTTTCTGAAATAAGTATAATATGCTCTTCCGAGTTCTACAAACTGTATCATTGTTTTCTGAATGAATTTGGAGTATGGAAACCTGAAGAAGAACTAGCCTTCTTGGAGGCTGTAGAAAAACATGGCTACGGTAACTGGGAAGATATCACCTATGTCAATTCAAAAGCACCTTCTGTCTATGAATCTCATTATTTAAAATTTTACGTTGATCAGCCATTTATCTTTGAGTTGGATGAGTTTGCCAAGATCAAATCTTCAGTCCGCAAACCTTTGAGCTTCTATTATAACTCTTGTGATGCTACATCTGCCTCTTCCAGCAGCTCAAATTTCACACCATCATCAGAATTCGAAATGAAAAAAGAACCTGTGGACTGGCACTGTCCCCTGGACTCAAAAACTTTTGATAAGCCAAGCAATCATGATACTTTCAATCACTCCAAAAGTAAGCATGAAAATTGTAACTGTCCTGATGAGCTAAAATTGAGCTCTACCAAATCTCAAGCTAAACTGGCTCCATTGGCGTCCAGCACCGGATACTGTGGTGCCAGAGATGACTTCAATATTTATCCTTTTGACAATGCTGAACTCAATTTATCAATAATGAATGACTTAAGCGATTGCACAGTTCCAGATCTTCCCGTCTCTAAACTTAGTATGATCAATGACTCCAATCTATTGTTGAATTGTTTATCATATGCCTTAATAGAGAATTACAATCATGTTTTGAAGAGACGAGAGAGAATGAAGAAATTTGTGAAGGAATATCACCTACTTTACAACCAAAATGCTTTCTCCTGGCTCAAACAATACCAGGTAATTATTTTGATTGTAGGTATATTGATCAGTTGTATATGCTTTTTAATGTCTGGCTATCTTGATCCCTACTTTCACTTAAAGTCTGATTAAGATGGTAAGTCATATAATCAAAACTTTTAAACATGCCTTAGCTCTTAATAAAATATTTAGTTGTTACCTTTAGCACAGATTTATGTTCAGTCCTTAATGGATATATCAGCATTGGTTTTATGGCTTCTCCCGCAGCAGCATTCAAGAGTGTTGTAGGTTTGTCTGTTGTATAAGAAGGCTGCAAAGGAGAATATTTGATGTGATACTCCTCGAAGAAAAAATTAAAAGCTGAAACTTTTATTTTTAGAACAAGAAGTATGGCGAACATTTTTTTTTTGTGCCAAGTTGTGAACAAGCAAACCAAACCTGAAAAACTTCCCCCTTTTTTTTCCCAAGTAAAAGGGGAATTTCCAGAGCATATCACATGCTTACTGATACAATTCAACCAAATCTATTTAAGAAGCCAAATTTTTATTGCACTTTGATCAAATACTTAGAATTTTCATAACCTGCCTTTTAAAATATGTATCTGAACTCTTTTTGCAGATTACATTGAACAAAGATATTGTGAGCCACATAAGCAGAATGTTGCAGTTCATTCCAAAAAGTGACGCCAAAGGAATACTCGGCAACCTTAAACAAATAGATGATTTAAGAGCAAAACTTCAAGACCTTAAGTATTATCGAATCAAAGGCCTGCAGACTTTCAAAGAAGTGGAGCTTTATAAAGAACTAAAATTAGACAAGAAGAAGAGATTCGCCAAAGCTCTTGAAAATATTGCAGCCATAAAAAAAGATCAATTTAATTTGAAAGATCATTTAATTCAGTTGAATTTTAAAAGATCCTCTGGTCGATTAGATATTGAAATTTTACCTGGCTATGATAAATTACTGGAGGATGAGAAACAACTCTGTGCTTCAGCTCGCATCATTCCTGCTTCCTACACACAGTTCAAAGCACTGATGATTGCAGAGTGTCAGAGAAATAATGGTTTGAGATTGGCACAAGCACGGAAATTAATGAAAATATGTGTCAACCGCACAAGGAGAATTTATGACCATCTCCTAGAAAAAGGCTCAATTTGGCTACCGTCATCTTAAGTGTACTGCTCTCTTAACAGTTGAAGCTTTACTGTGCCTCGGCCTGTTTTGCACTGTATAATTCTCAATGAGCCCAGGTGAGTTGCTCTTAAAGTAAGTTAACCGCTAAATATATTATTACACCTATTTACATTATGATTTTTCTACCGTCAATGACCACACAAAAGATCAGTTATCATCATGTCAGATGGCTTGTTTTCAACCGAAAACTCAATTTTGAGTGATGGCATTGCTGTATTGAAGAGAAAAGTTTAAAAAAATGAGGATATTAATGCTTAAATGTCCTTTATTTTGTAGGAAAAGCATGGAAATAGTACATATTGCTATCCTGAGCATCAGTAGACTTCTTAGTTTGAAAAGCATCTCTTAAATTTTGGATAAAGGCTTTACTGCTCGGTTCCCTTCAAGACCGGCTTTGATCCAAGAGTAATTTCAGTAACTCATCAGTATTGTTTCTCATCTGAAAATTGGAGGATCATCAACTCTTCACCATGAATAGGAATGATCTAAATTGCAGCATTCTTCAAGTGAGTTTCCTTTTTTTGATTCGTTTTTTTTTTTTAGGTACCTGATGATTTTTTTTTGAAGATGGAGAATGGATCTTTAAAAATATATATATTTTCTTTTTCGAAAAAATCAATTTCAGCTCAGGGATTTTTTTTTTTATTTTTTGAAGAAATTAATTTGCCTTCCTTAATTTATTTGCGCCTTTGCTGACGCAGGACAACTGTGCAGATTGCTTGCTCTGCTGGACGCAGCTTGCACGCTAATGGGTTAGTGATCAATGGGAGGAAAAATGGATTTCCCTGAGCGCCAATCTCTCTGATATTTCTTTGATCTGACAAGAAAGTAATCCCAGTGAATGACCATCACAGCCATCAATTTCAAAATGCAGAGCATTTTCTGACATGTGTAATTCAATTTTGAACCGACTGAATATGAAATCGCACGCCCCGTGGAAAGTGAGGTGTTAACTGAGGTTTGGCTGCTGAAAACCAGTTTTTTTCCAGAATTCCATGATAGACACCGAGTGTAAAGGTTAATTTTTTGCTCATATCTTTGATTTTCCTTTCTATAGGTGGACAATTTTTTTTTGGACAGTTTAACATCTTATTTTGGATACAGGACTGACTAAGTGATTCTTAGGGGTGTTCAAACGAATTCTTGCCGGAACTCTTTCGATATCGTCTCTTATTGAAACTGGCGGCAGTACCGACAGTGGCGATGATATCGACAACAGCCGGCCTTATCGGATTTTTGAGAGCTCGCACTCAATGCATTGTTGCTCCTTGTGTCGGTTTGTCAGATTGCCTGGCGCGGCGGCGCATGAAATAGATGTACACATGGCAACAGCTTATTTTCGCCAGCTCCGAAAACTCTGATCGCTATCGGCAAGAGCGCTCTTATCGTAACTTTTTCTTAACGGAACAGTTTCGGTAGCTTACCGACAACCGATAGAACAGCCCTAGTGATTCTGGATATGATGATCTCAATTCGCAAGTATGAGAAGCAAATGCTAAGGATTTGATGAAATGGGAATAAATCGACTGCACCGAAGGTTTAAACCATTCTAATGTTTTAAAAATGGGAACACAATTTGTATAATATGTATATATTTTTCCCTTTTGTCAAAATTACTAAAAAATGTTGATGCTGTATACTACTAGAAAGTAAAAAACTAGACGTCATCGAGAAGTCAAGTAATGGGACAACTTTGCAATGTGTATTTGACCTCAGACCTTGTAGCTAAATTAATTTTTTTTAGAATCCCTTGAGTCTCTATATGAGTGAGATCCTTTTAGAGATCATTTCATGAAGAAAACCCATTTTGGAGTATGATAATAAAAAATTGAATACTCGATCAGGCAACAGCTATAAAGTTCTTTCCTCTCTCTTTAATTTTTGTACATAACCACTGTTAAAATGGTAATTTTTCTCTTCTAAAATTAGAATTTCTGTTTTATCCTAATATCCTCTCTAATTTTTTATTTTCTATTCAGTTTAAAAGATTGTAAGATCTTAAAATTTGTGGAATTAGAATCAATAATCCATGATATTATAATAAATATAACCTTTGGAAATGGTGTTAGCCAGGATTCTAGCATTCTGTTGTGTAGCTACTGGGTGTCGAGGAGCAAACATGACTGACCATGATTAAGAAATAAGATGATTAAGTCAGTGACCGAGTGCTCAGTGTATTTCCTTTTTATTATTGAGAGATATTTATGTGTATTCGCTCATTGTATTGGTTTTTTGCTTGTTGACCTGTATTTTCTGGACCCCTTATTGATGATATAGGTGTTCAAGTCCGAACTTTTAGTAGGTTTATATAACTTTTATGACCAAAGAAAGTCTTGAGATTTTGAAAAATGTTTCCCCAATTTTACTGTGACAGAGATAATTTTTGCTTTTAGCTCGCTCAACATATATATTCTCATAAAGTGGCGGTATTGAGTACTGTGTGACTTTCCAAAGACTTATATTGGGCGTCAATTTATTTGTGATGGATTGAGACAAAAGTCTTAAATGTCAGTTCCAAATTCCTATTAATGTGCCCCAGATGTTGCACATTACTTGTATTTCTACCGCATAAGAAGAATACTTCTTGATCTGCTAAACCTCAGTCCCATTTTTGTGCCTCAGGGTTTCCATAATTTCATTTTCTGATTCATCGAATTCTTTGCTTTCCCCCGACTCCATAATTTTCAAATTTTCTGACTTTCCCTGAGCTTTGAACAAAGCTTCTACTTAGATTTTTCCCTTATTAATTAAAAAGAAATGAATTTAATTCAATAGAAGCTTAGAGCCATATTATAGAAGAAGGCACTTGAAGGCTGTTTCTGCTCTCAAATGGCTTCAACTGAAGTTGCTGAGCGGACGTATGGCTCCAAAAATTCTGCGCCTCTTTGTATGAATCCTGTAACTTTTTCAGGTCTCTCTGAATTCTCTGACTGTTAAAGATCGCTGTAATTCCCTGACTTTCCAGGTTTTCCAAACTGCCAGGAGCCCTGTATTTTCTCTCTTCATAAATCCAGACTTTCAAATTTCTTTGGTCACAAATGAAACAAGTCACGAAGAAGAGAGGAAGAAAATGAAATGACGTTTCAAAAAACAGAGTTATTCTGTTTTCGTTTAGTTGTAAACCTTTAAAACAAAAAAAAAGTAAATTTTAGAAGAACACTTGAATTTCGGAATCCTAGTTCCCAAAAGTTGCTATTCTCAAAATTTTGACTTTATCGAGTTCCTTGCAATTAGGAGAGAAAAACAATGTCATTCAAAAGATGTGAAGATGAATGAGTGTGATTTTTTGTTGACAACCTGGAATCAGCTGTTAACAATGTCACCAGTGCCATCCAGGTTGAGGTGCAGTTTTCTGTGAAGAAAGCACTTTATTTAAAAAATAAAGACTGATGCTTTGATCTACTAATCAGAAACCTTGGTCATTAAATGATTTATTTTCTAGGTTTCAAAAGCTACTTGTGATATTAGATATTTTTTCGTTATTAAGTGTTTACATTTACTTTTACTATAAGCTGCGATGCATTTACTTTACGAATACGCTTATTTTAGGTAGTAAACAGATAATGTATGTTCAACAAAACATCACACAAAATAAACTTTTAATTCATGGCTTTAAGAATATTTTTATTTTTTAATTAACTCTCTTTGTTGTCATGTCTCTTTTCAATGAAGCAGTTCACTATCAAATTGATATTTATGAAACCTTGGGCTCAAAGAGAGGAAAAGAATAGACTACCTGGCGGGCCACGGATGCAAATTGTGGAGGCTAAAAAAAAAAAACTTTTGGTTTCGTTTCTATTTTGATTTTTTTTTTTTGTATGAGGGTTTCCAGATTTTTATCTCTTGTGGAATAATGTGATTTTGGCACACCTTCTATAACTAACCATAAATTTAACAAAATTTTGATCAACGCGTTATGTAAAATCTTTTAAGAAAACCCAGCGCATTACAGGAAATTGCGGGGGGCCTCCCTGAAAAATAATATCACGAATAAAGAGAGAGCCACTTCTCGCATTAAATTTTGTGAGGAATTTAATGGCACTTGTAAATGGAAAAAAAAAAGTTTCAAGCAAATATATTGTTGACAAAATAATTGATGTTGAATTCAAAAAAATTGCTTCTCCCATTCTAATGCCTGGTTTTTGTAAACAAGGTAAGAAAATTCTAGCATACTAGAAAAAAAATTATTTAATTGTAAAAGAATGGTGACGGTTGTCCCTCCTCGGTTAAGGTCTAAGTGAATCCCAGGGTTTTTTCCAGGCCTATTTTCTACCATTTTTCATTTAACTTGCTTGAATCATAGTTTGGAAAGAGTGCAAATACTTAGTGCGGATACATTGCCCAGAAAGTCATGTTATGATCGCGCAGGGGAGAGGGGGAAAAATAACACTTCACTTGGATCTGCAATTACATGTATTGAAATACGTTTAAACATTTTCAACTTAATTATTCCATTAAGTTACGGCAGAATATCCACCAAGCATTTTTGAGGTGAAAAAATAAAATTTTATGTATTTACATTACATTATCAAAATATACAAAACTGTACGAGGTAATACTGGTCAGAGAGTCAAAGGTGATAAAATTAACCTATGCATTTTGGAATGTTAGGCGTGTTGAGAAAGGTTGTGGTGAATTATTTGCCGATTTTTCAAAGCCTCCAGGTCCACAGGAATAAAATCTAAAATGAGAAATGATTCAAAACATCAAGAAAAGACCCAAAATAAGCCGCAGAGTATTCAGGAGAATCCTCCGGAGGGGCATCAAGAGTGATTATGATCACATCAAAGTAGCCCTTAATTTCAACATCCCAAGTTTTTAGAGCAACATCCAGTGAATCAAAGAAAATTCACATGATCAAAAAAAGTAGCTCATCCAGATGATAATATGGACTTTTTAGGTAATTAATTTTTGAGTCCTAATCTAACTGAACTGGTGTTGATATAATATGCTGATCGGGTTGAAAAGGCTTAATTTTGAGATGACGGCAAAACAGAGAACGACCGCATACACATATGACTCCGAAAAGTCTTTTTAAAAAATGAGTTGTGAAGTTGGAGTGCATTTCTGCTCTGCTTAAAATGATGGCATTGGAAAACAGTATATTAATGGCAAAAATGCAAAACCTCCATTCGAAACGTTGCAGACTTCCTGTAATATTTTATTTTTTCTTTGAAAAACTAATTGACGTAATTTCATTATAACTCTCTTGATACCTATTTCCTCTCTTTTAGCGGAATATTTTGTATAAATTTAAAGCTATTAAGTTGGCGTGTTTTTCTACGAACAAATATAATAGGAGCAGAAAGTCTGAAACATCACAATGGAGATGTATGGTTTTATTCTATAGTCATCAATATCAGGGAAAAATGGGTAATTTTCTAAGTATATTATAAGTAATTTGGCCCAAAAATGTAGGTACTTGCATAATTTTAGGATCTTTTTTTTCAAATGAACTTACTGTTGATCAATATCAAAATTTTATAAAATGTACAATGAGCCATTAGCCCACTTTGTTGAAGCTGACCCTCATGAAGATCCCTGGCTTGAGTCAATTTTCAATCGCAAGGCCTGATTCTGCCACCTACTGACGAATTCAATTTCTGAACAAAGCAAAACTTCAAATGCTCGCTTCTGGGGGGTTGTAGGGCTTAAGTGTAGTAAATTTTATGGTGAGAATAACATTTCCGACACTAACGGCAGGATTTTTAGGAGCTGAAAACTTTGACCTGCACTACATATATAAAAATTTGACGTATGCTTCAGGATGAAATGATTTTAGGAGGTGATAGAATCAGGCCTCAGGCAAGTAAATGAAAAGCTTGAGATATAATATTAGGTGACGGGTTAGTAGAGTATTACCTTTCAATTGAGAATTCACTTCATCCTCACTATAGTAAGAGACATTGATTCGTTCTGAAAAAAGAGACATTTGTTGAAATCAAAACTTATGTAAATCAAAGGTAATGAGAAAGAGAAAGGTGGCAATTTCTGATTCGTTTACACCCAGATAAAGGTTAGTACGATGTAGCACCAGTATTACTGTAAAATCAGAAATTCAAAGTATCAAAAACGCATCGTAATGTCCATTATTTAGGCATTATTCAATGCAAAATATTTTTTAAACATTTGGTAAAATATAATTAGTACATACATGATTATTACTGTAACACTGCCTTTTTTTCTAAAAGAATTAGAAAGAAGCAGTGCCAAGCAGAGAAAATCCGATTAGAAACATTGATTTGACAAGTGACTTACATTCACCACCTGGTTTGTGTCTTTTTTAAACTTTTTTTTGGTATTTGGGTTTTTAAAACTAGCACAGGAGAGAATATAGGTGCATATTTTAAAAATAATTACTCAGTCTTCAAGCTTCACTTACTGGCTTCTTGGTTAGTCCATAGTTACCAGATGACACTTGATTCATTTGTAAAGTTAGGGAATTTTACTTAAAAAATAAAATACGATCATACATGTAACCACAAAGGCTATAGAGCCAATGAGGATCGAAATGTCTCTTCTGAAAAACCTTCATAGATGAGATCATTCACCAAGTCAGAGAGCATAAGTTTTTGTCTCCTACAGCACAGGAGACATTGCCTGTTTAGGGAGAGGAACATTGGTGAATGATAGCAATCACGTTCAAGATATGAAAGGAGACAGGAGTTACCTTGGCCATTTGCTTGTTGCTCACAAAAAACCTTGTTCCATGCTGAAAAAAATAAACAAATAAATAAAAAACATAAACCAAATGTATCATCACTCTGAGGGTACTCAGGATGGCAAAATTTGACTTAAAGTACGTACATTCAAATAAAAATATGCTATGTTAGTTGCCACCTCTCTGACAATTTTTCACCCTGTGATAATTTCTTACACAGTAATTATGCTGAGCAATTGGTCATTCTTCACGGCTAGGTGTGTTACCTAAACTTTGCAATTGTTTTGACGATTGTAAGAAAAATCAAAGAAAGCTTAAAACAGCTGCACTTGTGAATGCCACTATTAAAGGCACAATTATTCCCGCAGCCATTAAAATTTTCAAGGGTTCATTAAATAGATCAACTTTAAAAGCAATAGGCCATATTGCATAAAGTTAAAACTGAGAAAAAGGAGTTAGAAGTTTTGTTCCTTCGAAAGGCCCTACGTAAGGACAACGTTTAACATTGTTTTCATATTAGAAACATTTTTCTTCGCCTCCTAATTTTTGAAAAGAGAAAATTTACAACTAGCTGTATTCAAAACTACTCCCAACTAATTTTTCTCTGAAATTCGACTTGATGGGTTTCTGTTAACCGCGGTCAATTTATCAATTTCTTAAAACATTATACCTACACTGGAATTTTTCCATCATAATATCATTCCTTTAACTATCTTTTCATTTTCTATTTTTCTCAATTTTCATTAAAAATACAAAAATTTCTTTGATTCTTATTCATTGTGCCAATGATTAGCGTGCTTTGAAAGAAGCTACCAGGCATGCAGCAATTCTACAACCTTCTCATTTTTTTCAAATTGGCCTCAACTCAAAGACCTCTTTCCCTCCAAGATTTTTAGAATTGGCACAGTTTTGGGAAAGACACGCATTTCTATGTTAATGCAAGCTAGCCTTCCCATCATTTCTATTCGATGCTGTCAAAAGCTGAAATCTGATCAAACCCGAAAAGTAGCGGTGAAAAGCTGTGACTGGTCAAATTGCAATTTATGCTGCAATTGGATGCTGCTCAGCAAACATACATTTTGTATAAATATTCTACAATGAAGTGGCCAAATTACAGTGTGACTAGTCAATTCTTGATTGCTGTTGGTCCAGTCAGGAAATGTTCAAGAAAAGTATGAGGAATGATGTTAGAACAAGGCGGAACTTTTTACCCGAGGGAACTTGTGATACATTGCAACTTGATGCAACTCAGCAACTGCACGAGCAGATGCATAAAAAAGAGGTATAAATGCAAAAAGGCAAATAGGATGTACAATTTGAAGTGCCATACCTAACTCTCTGCTACATAATAACCAGCGAAGAGCTTCCAAATATTAAAATTCAATATCCAAATATTTTGATGATTTTTTAATATTTTGGCTAGTTGGCTTGATTAAGGCGATACTTCCCTAATGAAGATCGCCATTTTTAGTCCTCTTTCCTCCCCCTCTAACAATTAAATATTAAATGCTTTGACAAATTAACAAGATGATTTCACAATAAGAATAATCAATTTTAGTGCATCACCTCCTGAATTATGAATTGCTTTAGTGAAGAGGTGCTATTTATACACTGCTCATTAAATTCATGGATCAACGCAGTACATTGACAGGTTTTCTAATGTAAGAAGTTCCTCCTTGTTAAAATATAATTTCTTGTACTTTCTAACTAGTCAAATCAAAATTCGTCTGGTCAAACGCCAAATTATTACTTATTAGGAATGAAAAATTAAGATCTGAGCGAGCAGTTTCGGTCAAAATGCGATTTGACCAGGGCTTGTGACAGTCATTCCAGGAGACTGACCTCTCAACCCACCAATACTGCCTTGCAAAGGAATAACGCTGTATGAACATTCCAAATTTCCCCTGATGAAAAATCCACTTGGAAAGAAAGGTAGGTATGTGTAATTTTCCTTGAAATTTTCAGATATTTAAGATTAAATTTCAAACAAAATCAAAGGAAAAATTTCATAACTTCCCTAGTGACTTTGTATTATTTAAAAGGAAATCTGGCAATGCCTGAAGGTTCATGCAACATCCTTAACACGGTAGGATGGAGACGCAATAGATTAGATCAAAGCAGGAAGCACCTGAAAAGTCTGGAGCATACACATGATATTGAGTGACGTGTTAAAGCTTCGGGTATCACTTTTGTAATATTTATCATACGTACATAAAAAATATAGCTGTTAAGACAGAAAGGTATTTTAAATAGTTTAAATTTAAGTCAAATTGATGTTTTGAGATGTTTTGTGGTAGGTACCATTCACAAATAAAAATCTATAGGTTTTTACTACAGTTAAAAAAAATTGATAAAAAAAGGGGAAGATACTTTTACGATAGCAAAACTTACAATCAAACATAAATTGAATTAAATCATCATGTTGGGACACAGGGATATGTGAAGAATCCCTCATAGTAACATTATTCCTTGGAATAACTCCCGATTTTTGCCCGTTGACATTCTGCATATTCTGAAAGCGCAACAGAAAAGAGATAAAAACCATAGGTAGTTATAGATGTTTTGAGTGAAAATTTGTTACAAAAAAAGCTACCAACCAAGAAGGGTAGAATTCCATTTAAAAGAGAAGACCCTCGAGCCAAGTACAAGAAAATATTGTCTCGAAATCGTGCAAACACACTGAAAAATTAATCCAAAGAGATTCATCAAAAAAAAAATCATGGACTCAAAGGCTGTCTTTCTCACAGGTGGCCCTGTTCATAAACCTACGAATTTTCGATTGATTTCTTCTCCATTAAAGGTTCCTAAAAGAGAGGACTTCCAAGAGGGGTTAAAATATACTTAGGTAGTTGCTGTAAGTCAACCAGTCAAGAGTCTCAAGGTTCATTAAAACCTCCCTGTTGACTGTATCAATAAGCATGGAATTAATGTTATGTGTGTTCCTTGAGTGGAACAAATGGTGACATCCCTCAGACTATGATGAGTCATGACATCTTCTTCCACATCAACAGAATCCAATATATTTTTGGACAGGAAAATTGAACGAGAGGAAATTCCTTGCATTCTTACCAATGACTGACAGTGTCTTAGAATAAGCGAAAGAGTGCAATGCTTTCTTACGCCAGGCTAATGCTGCCCACTCAATCTTAGCGATGTTCGTTGTCAGTGATGCTGACAAAAAAATATTTGCACTCATCGGTCATAATGTTGAACCATGGCAGCGGGTTGGCTTAGGAGTCAGCGCTGCGCTTCGTTTAATAATAATTACTGCTGGATACAAAAATACTACTTATTGATAAGATGTATAACAAAATCTGGGCATTCATTTGTCTTAGAAAACTGTGACACCCATAAACAAAGAACAAAACATACCCATTCAGAGAGAGAGTAGGTGGCCCTGATTGAACTTTCAAAAACTTCTCAAAATAGAGAGAGAGAGGAAATATGTCTGTAGTAAGAAGCAGCTGGACACGTATGTGACTCGCGACTCGCGTTCGCGAAATTTCACAAAAAATATCTAGACCGAAAACAAAACTGTCGTCGTGACTTCCGTCAACTTCCGATGTTTACTTTCTGCAGACAATGACCTCCTCGGAGCAGACTTTCAAAATGGCCGCGACGCTTTGAGCTTTTGTTTCCAAACAAAAACCTAACCTCTACGATTCGCGAAGTATGCAACGACTTTCAACGTGATAAGATGGGGAAAGCATTCGTTACTTTTTATCATTCCTCAAGAACTTTCATGGTGAATTTTCGGCTGTCTTCTATGCAGTGAGTTTTATTCCATGCACCGTACAGTGAAGTACTTCTAAGTAAAGTGAAAATCAGTGTTTCAATCAGATCCAGTATGGCAAGAAGTGGTCACCATAAACGTAAGTCTAGATCCAGGAGTAGGAGTAGATCTAGAGATAGAAAAGAGAGGCGCCGGCGAAGTAGATCCCGAGAGAGGTCTCGCAGATCCAGAAGTAGAAGTAGAGATAGGAAAGAGAAGAAGAGTACCAAACGTGATAAGAGTCCATCAAGGAACCGTAAACACTCAAGGTCTCGATCACCCCGAGAGAAAATTCTGAAGAAGGAAGATGTCAAGAAGGAAATTAGTAAACCTGAGGAAGAAGCCTTTGACCCTTCCAACCTAGACAAAGAAGAGGAGCAAAAAAGATTAGAACAAGAAATGTTAAAACGAAGAGACAGAATAGAACGCTGGAGAGCAGAGCGCAAAAAGAAAGAAATGGAAGGTGTACGTAAAGATATTAAGACATCAATAGCCAGCCTGCAGCTCCCATCAAAAAAGTGGAATCTAGAAGATGATAGCGATGAAGAAGAGGATAAGAAGGAAGAGAATGGTGGCAAGAAAGAGGAGGAAGAAGAAATAGATCCTCTTGATGCCTACATGATGGATATCCAAGAAGAGGTTCGGAAAGTGAACAAAATGGATGGAACAACCAAAGCAGTTGATACAGCCCAAACTAAAAATTCAACAGGAGTTGTCATTGTTACTGGAGTGGCCAAGAAAAAAGCTGATACAAACAAAGGTGAATTGATCGAGCAAAATCAAGATGGATTGGAATATTCATCCGAGGAAGAACAAGAAGATTTAACAGCAACAGCAGCAAATCTTGCAAGAACACAGAAAAAAGAATTGGCAAAAGTTGACCACTCGGGTATTAACTATTTGCCATTCAGAAAATCATTCTACGTTGAAGTTCCAGAAATATCCCGTATGACCGATGCTGAGGTTGAAGCTTACAAAGTTGAACTGGAAGGTGTCCGTGTGAAAGGTAAAGGCTGCCCACGTCCGATTAAAACTTGGGCCCAGTGCGGAGTCAGCAAAAAAGTCTTAGAAATTTTGAAAAAGCATGAATATGAGAAGCCAACTCCTATCCAGGCTCAAGCAATTCCAGCCATCATGTCTGGCAGAGATCTTATTGGAATTGCCAAAACAGGTAGTGGTAAAACACTTGCATTTGTCCTTCCAATGCTGCGGCACATTCTGGACCAACCGCCTCTGGAAGACACAGATGGGCCCATTGGATTAATCATGGCTCCAACTCGAGAGCTATGCATGCAAATTGGCAAAGATATACGTAAATTTTCAAAGTCCCTTAATTTAAGAGTGGTTTGTGTTTATGGTGGCACTGGTATTTCAGAGCAAATTGCTGAACTGAAACGAGGGGCTGAAATTATTGTCTGCACTCCTGGTCGAATGATTGATATGTTGGCTGCTAATAGTGGCAAAGTAACAAATCTACGGCGTGTCACTTACGTTGTGTTGGATGAAGCAGATAGGATGTTTGACATGGGATTTGAGCCACAAGTTATGAGGATAGTGGATAATGTAAGACCAGATCGTCAGCTTGTCATGTTTAGTGCAACATTCCCACGGCAAATGGAGGCTCTTGCTCGGAGGATTCTAAACAAACCTATTGAAGTACAAATTGGTGGACGAAGCGTTGTTTGTAAAGATGTTGAACAGCATGTGATTGTTTTAGATGAAGATCAGAAGTTCTTAAAATTGCTTGAACTTTTGGGAAATTATTTAGATCAAGGAAGTGCCATAGTTTTTGTGGACAAGCAAGAAAATGCTGATACCTTGCTGAAAGATTTGATGAAGGCTTCGTATCCGTGCATGGCACTGCATGGTGGTATTGACCAGTATGACAGAGATAGCAACATTGTGGATTTTAAGACCGGGAAAGTAAGTATAATAAATGGTTTTATTTTTTAAGATTAGTGAGAGCTATTGATTTTTTGGCAGTGGTTAGCTCTGAGAAGTAGTCAATATTAAGGCAAGCAAAGTAAAACTAATGACTCCAATGGGCCTCCAAATTCAATAAAATCCAAATCCATCCTTAAATAATGCAATAAATTATCCAAGAGAAAGGATGCTATCTTTTATATTGAAAGAAATTTTAGTCTGATACATTTTTGTAGTCTTGTGTGATTCTCTCACTCGCACAAAATGTAATTTATCTGAGAATTTGTAGGTATTACTTACCTTAATTTACTTAGGTACCTATCTTAATTTTTAGCATTAATATAAGTCTCTCTTCAACATATCACCAATGGATATCTGGCTGAATGTCTCAAGTTTATTACTCTGTTTTAAAATCTTTCGAACAACATTTTATCCTGTTTTCATTGGCTAATTGAAGGTGACTTCAAGTTAGCAAAAAATACAATATTTCTGCAAGAAATGAATGTGAGTTGTTTCTTCATTAATAATTCGTTGGTCTTCCAATTTTCTTTAGGTGAAGTTGCTAATAGCCACATCTGTTGCTGCTAGAGGTCTAGATGTTAAGTCCTTGATATTGGTTGTCAACTATGACTGTCCTAACCACTATGAAGATTATGTCCATCGCTGTGGGAGGACTGGCAGAGCTGGAAACAAAGGTTATGCCTACACTTTCCTAACTCCGGATCAAGAACAGCATGCTGGCGATATCATAAGAGCTTTTGAGCTTTCAGGACTCCCCGTGCCGCCCCAGTTGATCAAGATGTGGGACTGCTATCGAGCCAAGCAAGCTGCCGAAGGGAAAAAAGTGCACTCAGGTACCTTATGTGTAAACTTAGGATTTTTCTTTTGGACAATTTGACATCACTTAACAGTAATAGATTATTTACATTGGTGGGTTCGAGAAGAAACATGTCTGTTAAGTAATACCCCAGGACTAGTAATATGGTAGACATGGACAGGAACAGGTACAAAATTTAGGAAGCTGTATCTCTTTGCATTTTTTGAGTCTTCCTCAATGCTCAAAAGTAACTACTTTAAAATATTTTATCCCATTTAGATGTAGGCTTATCAGAATTTTGAAATCGCCAAAATTTATACTGCCATATTCAAGTCAGGCTACCTCAGCTGTTTCATTTAACTTTCAGTGTGTGTTGGTGGCATCCCTACACAAATGGGAAGATATTTTCCGATGAAAATCTTATGAGAGCAAGACTTTAAAGAAAATACGCTACCTGATCAAATGAGACTTATTGAAAATAAAGGAAGCAGAAATCTTGCTTGCAGTGCCAATCATGGTTTTCTTTTTAAGGAGTCTTAATCCACTAATTTTGTGTTGCTAGTATGCTATACAGGGTTATCCAAAAGTTACTGACCACCCCTGTAACTTTTTTCCAAATCGAGATAGAAGTTTGAAACTTTGCCAATGTTTTTGGGGGGACCAAAAAGTTGCCAAAGTTTCAAACTTCTATCTCGATTTGGAAAAAAAAGTTACAGGGGTGGTCAGTGACTTTTGGATAACCCTGTATGAATATTTGAGTGTAAGGGTGTTATGATTTTTTCTTTCGATCAAAAACATTTTCTCATATTTTTGCAGGTGGTGGCTTCAGTGGCAAAGGATTTAAATTTGATGAAACAGAAGCAGCAATTGCTAATGAGAAAAAGAAGTTCCAAAAGGCTGCATTAGGCTTGCAAGATTCTGATGATGAAGACATTGAAGGAGACATTGATCAACAGATAGAGCAAATCCTTGCGTCAAAACGAACGGTCAAAGAAATTAAAGCACCAATTGCATCTATAAACCCAGAGACTCAGCAGATTATTCAAAACAACCAGCCCATGACGGAACGTTTAGAGCTTGCAAAGAAGTTGGCTTCAAAGATCCATATAGCTAAAAATCTAGGAGCCGAGGCCAAAGGTGCCACACAACAAGCGGCAGAGGCTATTCTCAAAGGAGGAGGTTCTCAGCCGATAATTATGGCAAGAACCGTAGCGGAACAGCTCGCTGCTAAACTCAATACAAAGTTGAATTACCAGCCAAAAGAGGAAGAAGAGGTCAAAGAAGAAGAAGTAGAGCAAGTAGAAACATTTTGCAAGTATGAGGAGGAGCTCGAAATCAATGATTTCCCTCAGCAGGCTAGGTGGCGGGTCACATCGAAAGAAGCCTTGGCGCAGATCTCTGAATACTCAGAAGCTGGTATGTACATCATTCCCCTCTCATTCATCAATTCATTCTTTCAAGTCTTCATTCATAAGGCTGGACAGGGAAGGCAATTAGCAAGAAAAAATTATTTATTTTCAGAGAATGAATTTGAGTCATGCATAAAAATATTATAAAGTTTATTCACTTTGGATAAAACCCCGATTTTTTACATTAAATTTTTATGATATTTTCTCAATTACTTTATTCTATTTCTACTTCTTCACAAGTTAATGTAATTTTTTACTCGAAAGTTGCTGAAGTTTTAAAAGAAACATCTGATAACAGAATGATACTATCTATAGCGTTATGCCTATAACAACTGCGGCTTCCCGCTCTAAAAAAACATTTTATTAACGTTGGCAGTTCCAACCATCTCAGACAATATCCTGTCGGAACAAGTCAGAAATACTTCAAGAGATTTTCTATGCAACATGTCTTACAGCTGTATTTAAACAATGGAATCTTGCAGAGTAGAAAGAAAAGTTGAGATTCGTTTAAATGCCTTTCTTTCAAAACAAGTAGCTACAGAGAATTTTTTCATTAAGAGAGAGAGAAAGAAAAAAAACAAGTAATGATTTTTTAGAAAATGTTACCTTTTCTCTTGATCTCCTAGTTTCTTGCTTTCCCTTTATCCGATGGCCATTTCGGGAGAGTCACCCATCTTCAGGTCTTTCACTCTTAATCTAGGTTTCTCACTTTTCTAGGTTGCATATTTGAGCTTCATATCTGGCTTGTGTCTTTTGATGAAAAATATTTAAGAACAAAAATACAACACTAATTAGGTATGCACAATTGATACTTTAGTTGCGGATTCACGAGCGACAATTCAGAAAAAAAAACTGGTGGATGGCATTGACTGTAAGGGCGCACTTCCACTCAGTCTTATCAGTCAGCTATGAATGAAAACTCTGGCTGAACGAAGCAAAGTAAATTATATTAAGCACTGATGTGCCATGCAATATTAAATACTATGTTTTTTCAAAGGCAATATCTCACTTGATATAAATAGAAATTTTCTTTAAGTAAAAGGTGCTTCAAATGGTTACCTGTGATCACCCATTTAACTTTTTTTAATAAGTAAATGTTCACATTTGTTTCCAGGTATCACTGTTCGTGGCACATACTTTCCACAAGGGAGAAATCCACCAGAAGGAGAGAGGAAACTATTTTTGGCTATTGAAAGTACAAATGAGCTTGCTGTGTCCAAAGCAAAGATTGAAATCACGCGTCTAATCAAGGAGGAACTTCTAAAACTCCAGAGCTCAGCGCACCACATGATAAACAAAGCTCGCTACAAGGTTTTGTAAGGTATTTGTCCACTCTTAAAAGTGCGGAAAATTTGCTACATTGCCATTTTTATGGGAGACTTGGTCATCAGCATACTGCTAATAGAGAAGAAAGCAAGCTCTTCTTTTAGATCCAAACACATTGTGTAAGTTTTTCCTTTTTAGCTGGATAAAATTCTTTGTAAGGAATTAACATTTTTCGATTATTTTTGAGGATTTTTCTGGGAAAAAAAGTTTGAGCATGTCATGTGAGAACACCTGGTTGGTTCTTTCTGTAAAGTCCACAACCACAACGTGACATACTATAGCCAGATTTTTCCTAACATCATAACTGAGCTTGAAATTTTGTCTCCATTTCAAGTTCTTCTTCTATTTTTAAGTGACTAATACAGATTTAAGAACTTATAAAATCTGAAATTCTTTGAATCGTATGCTCAAGCTCTTGACTTGTTTTTTATGAGCCACTCAGTTCTTTATGTTGTGATTTAAGATTTCAGAAGTATCAAGATCAGAACATTGTAAGAGGAGGAAGAGATTTCTATTATATTTGGCTCCCAAGCTCTTGACTTGTTTTTTATGAGCCACTCAGTTCTTTATGTTGTGATTTAAGATTTCAGAAGTATCAAGATCAGAACATTGTAAGAGGAGGAAGAGATTTCTATTATATTTGGCTCCCTATTAGGTACAATCCATTTCTTCATGGATGATGTACAAATAGTAGAATGTGAGATTTTCCAACATGGTGGATTTTTTGGTGTATGCTTTTCAGGTGGAGAGGAGGGGGGGGGAGTTATAGACAAAACCTTTAATGTCCGATAAGTTTTGACAGGGTCATCAGATTGAGTCAAACTTTTTTTTTCTCACGGAAGATCTCTAAAAGACCTACCTTTGCACCCAATAAAATGTTAAAAAATTTGTTGTATGCAATTTATAGTAGGCCAGTAGGCAAAAGGGTGCAGAAAATTGCAAAAGTTCCAAAACACTAGGCTATTGAGTATTTTAATGTTCCTTCAGTTCCAGTAAGAGGCTCACAACAAAAAGAAAAAGAGATCCTATCAGTTACTCTTGGAGCCACTTCTCCTATGGAGGACGGAAGGCCTATATCAACAAGTCCGCTGTACTGTACATCCACCATGCTACCATATCATCCCTGAAAAGAAGGATCATAACTGACAAGGGCCAGATCTAGTTGAAGACAGGAAAAATCTCTTAATTTAAAGCCAATGCTCTGATTGTAGAGAATATGCGTACATTCTGTGTAAAATCAAAGTCAGTGATAGATCTTAGGGATTTTCTAGAAGCAGTGTGATTTGTTTACCCTTATAAATGTAAAAAAAAGGTATCCATTTATTAACTTTTAAAAGCAAGCATGTTTTTTTTTTTTTAAAAAAAAATTCTTTATGTTGTTGGATCAGTCTTACTTAATATGTAGGGTCCAAATTGCAATCGAGGATCGATTTTCGGCATAATAGATCGAAAAAACATTTGTAAAAAAAGTCGAAATTTTTTTGATCATTCTCTTTCTCAATATGTAATTTTGAGTTTTACTGTAACTGAGTGATTTGAATTGATTTCAAACTTTTGCCTTAAAAATTGATTGCATTATTACATAAGTAACCAAAAATAGATTCTTTTTTAAAGGGGTACTTCTGCAAAAAAAAAAAAAAAATTCGGCCTCCAAAGTCTTTTTAAAAATTCTGTTTCTGTCTGCAGATTATGGATTTAATATTGAATTTCAGCAGAAAAAATAAAAGATAATATTTTTTCCTAAAAATGTCTCTCATCTTACAAGAAAGAAGTATTTAATTTGCAAGAGAATTATAAGAAAAAAATGTCCATAACTAATATTATTCAGACAAGGTATTGGTGCTTTATTTCTAGCAAAGTCCATACTAGGCATTCAATTGCTGTGTCCAAAATTTATTCGAACTATGATTCATAAAATTTAAAAGTAAAATCTTTACTTAAAAATTAATTGTATTGTACTGAGATGTTAGTAGTACTGACACTAAAAAAATGGTTTTCTCTTGAAGTGTTTTTGTGGAAGAGTATCATATTGATGTTTTTTTTTGTTTTTTTTTTTGTACAGATAAATTCACTTATATTCTCAAAAGAAAAACTAGGGGACATGTCTTGTCCAAAATTGTACTTCAGGCCATTGTTTTTAGTCATGCAAGTCATTGATTTGATTTGGGTGTTTTGATCTACATACTGATGAATTACCGACTGGTGAATTTGAACATCCCTGGCTCTATCATAATGTTGTTTAACATGTTATTTTCCAACTTACTTGATATCTACGAGAAAAAAGTTTCATTTAAAACTAAGAACCTAGAAAAATGCAACAGGACCAGTTTCACAAAGCTAATAAATGTGTTCTTTAGGATATGTGTTCTAATGAAAGGAATCCAATAAAACTTTTTACTTTGAGATGAACTGAAGTATTTAGTTGATTTTCATTGTCATTGATTATTTACCTTTTGCTCTCTTTTGTATTTATTTATTTATCATTTTTTCATACTTTTCAATCTCCTCACATTTATTCTTGCACTGCAAAATTTACTGTGTAAACATCAACTGCACACTAAATTGAATAATCATTGTAATTATCATTAACTAGTACCCATCAAAATCAGCAGGCTCCAACAAAGTTGTCTAACTTAATGACTGCATGCCATTCAAAGACCAGACTTTTAGCTGACACAATTTTCTTCACCTCATAAAATTCCTCAATTTCCTAATTGAATCGGGGCGTGCAAAAACCGCTTATATCCATTTTTCCAGTCTTAAGTTTTTTTGAGTTCATAATACTTTTTGGAGTTGGTTGTAACCACGAAAGAGACTTTCAAACTTGTGTTCGGGTTCCTTTAATCCCAAAACGAGTCCTCTCATCACTTTTATGGTTGTATCAACTCTTTAAAAGTATTATGAACTCGAAAAAACTCAAGACTGGAAAAATGGACATTAGCGGTTTTCGCACGTCCCGATTCAATTAGTAATGATCCTGGGAAAAAAGATCTTGGTCCATGGAGGTAAAATTTTCAGTTAAACGATTTTTTTTCTCAAGTCTGGTCCAAATATTAGATTTTGAGAGAGAACCCTGTGAAGTCCCACAGAATGGATTGAAAGTTGCTTAGTTCAGTCTCAAGGCAGTTGGCCCAGTATAATGGGGTAAGTACCTGAATGGGTCAGTTGTGCTGGTCACAGATTCGTGTTTTGATGCTTTATTCTTGCAGATCAACTAAAAATAGTAAGATCTGTCCTGACAGCAACTTAACCGAGACTTTTAACTATTAACCGAGATATCGCGCCTTGAAGAACTCGATTTATGATGTCATCCACCGTGGTAGGGCACACCATGTTATGCACTAGGTACCGCGCTGGATGGCATCGAAATCCCGGCTTTTCAAAGGAAAATATCTCGGTTAATATTCAACCTAGAAAGTTGCTGTTTGGACAGATCTTAATATTTTTAGCTAATTTACAAGAATCAGGCATTAAAACACGATTCTGTTACCAGCGCAACTGGCCCATTTGAGAACGTGGAAGATTAGAATAAATAACATTTCTCCAAACAACTGTAATTCAGACTGTTAAAACTACGAATTTATTTAAAATTCTCAAGCCTTATAGTCCCAGACTGTGTAGATCCCACCTGTATGATTGGGAATTAATGACTGTATTTCTAGTCTTTGCGACCAAGGTTCCTTTTTCCTTGCAAGGCCGCCTTTTCCTCTCTGGAGGCCGATTAATGAAATTGATAGACATAGTTACAGACAAAGGAGACAAAAGAGCTACGGATCCTATTGGTGGAAACAAGTTGTTGCAATGGACAAAAGAGGTACCTAGGTATTAGACTAACTAAAGGCAACCCACAAGAGACCCTATAGTCAGTGCATCATTCTCCCCCTCTTATAGTCTATAAGCAACAACCACCCATTTTGACAATTAGGATCGTTCCATGCTCCTTATGTCTCCTTTGTCTATCAATTTCAATATCAGCCTGTAGTAAGGTTATGTCCCTCATTCTGGAAACACCAAAGGTGAGCTTTCTTGCAGCACAGAGAGAATGAAAGTATTTTTTTTTTTCAGAAGAACGTAAGTTGTCTAGTACTTTAGGGCGAATTATTTACTTACAAAGGATCAGTATGTACATACATGGATGTTGAGTGCATTGAAACAGCAACCAAATCGGTTCGTACATCCAAATTCCAAACATTGCAATAAAAATTGAAAGCAAGGGAAAAAAAATACAAATTGAAAAACGAGTAGAAGCTGATATTTTTATTATCATCTTTCTTTACCATTTGTTCCATTTCATTCATGCATTCCAAATAGCTGAGAAGCACAGTACAACCAAAATTTTGACATGATATTGTAATAATGCAATATAATTTCAATATTTTCCCATCATGCGCCCGATAAATGTTACTTTTGAAGATCAATAATATGAGTCCTATGTCTCAGAAAGATAAGCAATTTGCAATGGAAAGAAAAATTACAACTTTTTTCTCTTTTATAAGGCAATAAATCAATTGGAGGAGCCCCTTCAATAAGTAGATGAGCAACATACACAACACTCCAATAGTGACAATAATTTTACCATGTACATCCTAATTGCAATTCCTGGCAACCTTTGCTACTCTGGTAGTATTTAATTGAGAAAGTTTCGACGCGTTATTCAAACTAAAATATGTTGAATCTGTCACTCGTGAAAAAGTAATTTATATCTTCCAAAATTGGTGCTTATTTCCAAGGAGCCAGTTTGCTTTAGACACTGTGATGAAGCAGTTTTTTTGTTATCAGATACGGACACGAGCTAAAAATTATCTGAAGAGTTGATTACTTTCAGTGCAACGAGCTTCAAAAGTTTCGAAGAATTTGGTGGGCCATCGTTCTTCACATTTTATGATGTTTTAAAATCAGGTAAGCTTGGTCTCTGTCCCAAAGTTAGGAGAATAGATACCTCCTCAAAACTCATAGCTGCTTAAATTTTGCTGATTGATTTATTGTTGGAAAAGAATCTGATTGTGAGTTTCTTCTCAATTTTCATGAGGAAACATGATAGGTACCTAGGCCAAAGGCTGTACCTAATTTATGCACACAAAAATGAAAACATGATTATTATGATTTTCATATTGATAACATTACCTATGAGCCTGTTGCAATTTTTTGTCTTTCCAGTGCAATCACAAAAGTATCATTATGTGCTAGCTATTCCAACAATTTACTTCTTAGGTATACACTACAATTGTCCTCTGGACTTCAGTGAATGTTCGAACTTGCTGCTTCAGAGAGAACACTACAGCAATGATGTAATTTAATTAAGATAAGACACCCAAAATCCACCTTCATGTGATGCATTTTCTCAAGTAAAACGGGGAAAATATGAACTTTCTAACTGAACATGTTTTCTTGCTAACTTTTGCAAACTGTTCAACAAGGAAACTCCATTGGCTGTTAGCTTTCATCTGGAGAACTTTATGTCACATGAGGGTAGTTATTTTGGGTAATAAAATCGTAGGATGACTCATTGGAGTTAAAGTACATACCTACATACTTGCTATTACAGGTAGGTACCTACACTTTATTATCAAGAAATGCTCGGAATTTCCTCGGGCAATTACTTGAGGAGAATCGACTATTACACATTTCATACCCACAGTTTTTGACCAGTTTCTAGAGAGAAAAACCTTTCCATCTCTTTTATGCAAAAGTTTGACACCATCCTGTGTGTGAAAATTTGTCTTAAATAGATAATAGCTTATGAGGATTGGTTTACATCATACTGTCGTGTCTTCTTTTTGTCTTACGGCGCCATCTTGCCATCTGAATACGAAATAACAGTTAAAACTCTTCTAACTCAGTCAGAGAAGTTGAAGATTTCCATTGTCAAACAAGTTTTACTGGAGGAGGAGAAAGAAATGGAGAGAAAATCCAGTCAACACAAGGCGTGCGTGCTGCGAAAGACTCCACGCAAGGGCGACCGAGAGGCAAAGGGTCTGGACGCAGGAGAGGTAGGGGTAGAGGAGGATCCGGCTACAGAAATTTCTGCTACTCCTGCGGCGACGAAAACCACATTGCAAGAAACTGTCCAAAAATAGCTGAAGTAGAACAAGAAAAGAAGGAGAAGTCTGAGGAGAAAACAAAGTTAGCGGTAAGTCTCTATTGCCACTAGGGAGCATGTACTGTTGTACACTAAAAGGAGTTCAGCGCAGAAGGATGACATATGGATCCTCGACGGAGGGGTCTCCGATCACATGTCGTACCGTAGAGAAAGCTTCACTAACTTCCAGCCTCATTCTGGAGAAGGGTAAGGTTCTGATAAAAACCCCGAAGGTAGATGGAGGTCTATCAGTGACTTTATCCGATGCACTGTATGTCACAGAGCTGGAATGTGGGCTCATCTCGGTTTCGAAACTGACCGACCGTGGATTGGACGTCGTTTTCTCCGGGGATAAAGCTGTTGTTCTCGATAAGGAGGAGACAATCTTAGAAGCAACAAAGAAGGAAAATGTTTACATCCCCATCACCTTCATCTCCAAGAACTACGGAATTACCACGGAACATACCAAATATGTACCTGAAGTCTCCGATATCAAAAGGCAGGTAACTTTAAATTCAATATTACAGGTCCAGCGTCATACAGTCAAGCCGACACAAATGGGGTCTATTACGAAAATCGGCTGCTCTATGTGCACTCAACTGCCTTCCATGTACCACCCAAGTAGCATGGATTGCAATTTCATTGCAATGGATTGTGAGTTGATTGCAATTTTTGCTTGTTGCCTATACGTTCATTTGAAGGCGCTTAAAAAGTTGCAATTTTATTGCAATAAGTTTGCAAGAAATGTAGATTATGCTTGTTTTTCAAGGCACTATAAAGACTGCAATTTCGGTGCAATCATGTTGTAACAAATTCACGCCATGTGCCTGGCATCCAATTCTCTAGTTGTTTTAAAGTTTTTTCGACTTAAATGTCTCACCTACCTAACCCATATAGCCCAACATATTTTGAAAATATTGTCACCTTTATCAAAATATTTTCATGGCAATATTGTAAGTAAAATATTTTCAAAATATTTTTAAAACATTTTAAAGGAATATTTTGAAAATGTTTACAAAAAATATTTTTAAAATAATTCAAAAATATTGCCTGTAAACATGCATGTTAAAAATATTCCTTAAGAAAGTTTTGAAAATATTTTAAAAATATTTTTTGAAAATATTTTTAAGTTCTCAAGTTAGTATGTGGTGTAATTTACACCGGTGTAAATTTAGTGTGAGTACCTATTACGTGATATCGAAAAAAAAAATCAGACAAAAAAAATATGAAAAAAATAAATAACACGAAAAAAAATAAATAATAGGCAAAAGAAAGAAGCCTGAGAAAAACGGCGTTAATCAAATCTATGATGAATGTTGAGCCACGCACTGACGCAATGCATGCGATAACAGCCTTAACAGGCGTGATTTCAACCAAGCTCATCATCAGCTCCTTGTAGCTCAGTGGAAGAGTGCTCCGCTATGACGTTCGCGGGTCGGGTTCAAGCCCACTCAAGGGCGTCAGGTATTTTATGCTGCTAAACGTCGTAGGACATTAGGTAAGCATGGGTTCGAATTATTATAATTTCCCCGGAAAATTTAGGGGTTGAAATTTAAAGGTCGTCAATATTGAAATTTCTTTGCAAAAAAAAAAAAATTGCAACTTTTTTACAATGAGGGGGTCAGATGTTGTAAAATAATTGCAATTTTCTTGCAAGAAAGTTGAAATCATCTGGAAATTTTATTTCATTTAAATTGCAATTTTTTCGTTGCAAAATGCTACTTGGGCATTGAAGAGGTACGATTTTAATTTAACACCGTACAACATAGCATTGCAATTTTCAGACGACGGCAAAAATAGACGATTTGAGCGATCAACTTGACGACATCGATTATCGCATTGTAACGTGGCATACAGCTCAGCTCATTTTCACGTTAATAGTAACTGCTACGGCAGAAGTAGCCTTGATAACACTCTACAAAAAAACAAAGCCGCCCTCCCACTTTGTTAACCAATTTCAGGAACTATCAAGCAGGACCCTGAGAACAATGTCAACGTACTCCAGGTACAACCCTTATTTCAGTCCCTGCAGCACTTCGACCCCTCTGCTGGAAAGTTCACAGACTGGGTCGATCTATTTAACCAGTTTTGCTTCATTAACAATATTGCGGCTGAACCTGCCCCTGCTGCGCCAGGACAAGCCCCCCCCCCCCCCCCCNCAACCAGAGAAAAGCCTTGTTTTTGGCTTACATCGGGCTGCGCGCTTATCAGTTATTAAAGAGTAATTGTCTGCCACAAGCACCGCAAGATCTCCCTATCCCGGAGCTTGTAGCCGTATTGAAGTCACATTATGAGCCGGAGAACTTGTTAGAAGCATCTCGATATCAATTCCACCAAAGATCCCAAAAGCCCGACGAAACAGACTAGAGTTTATTACTGCCCTCCAGGACTTAGCATCGAAGTGTAATTTCGGTCCATTCCTGGATGATTCCCTACGGGGTAGATTGGTGATCGGGATCAGAAGCGATGCCATCCGCCGCAAACTTCTGGCAACAGAAAACCTAACCTTCGCTCTAGCCAAGGAGAAAGTGATACAGGAAGATTTGATTAGCAACCAGGCCAAGGCCCTGTCCCGAGCCCTTCCTATCAACAGCGTGCATAAACAGCACAATGCCAAGTCGTCAGACCGCAAAGGTCACGTTAAGTGGCATCCAAGTCCCTCGTCTCAGGGTACCCAGCATGGTGACAATTCCAAGGCGCAGCCGCCACAACCCAAACAACAGTGTTTCCGCTGCCCCAGGGTCATCCGGGAGTAGTACGGACCAAAATGTTAGCCCGTTCGACTGTTTATTGGCCGTCTCTCAACCAGGATATTGAAATTCATGCACGCGTGGGTTCGAATCTCATCCTCGTCGCCATTTTGACGTGTTCCCGGACAGGGAAGAAAAGACAACAAGTTGACTCGGTTGAACGAAAGACTCCTTATTGACCAAAAAAGGACAAGGCACGACATAGGACTCCTTCCATTCGAAGACAGAGGGAGAGTTCCGTGAGCCCGGAAACCGGTGCTGATTGGTGGGGTTCGGTGGTGGACACCACACCATGGTTCACTCGCCTCCCCTTGTCCCACCGCACATTTCCTTTCTTCCAACCTCTCTCTCCCACGTTTTGTATCCATATTTCGTCGATAGATTTCGCTGTCTCGTCTTTCGGCTCGAGTTCCTCTACAGATTTTCAGGTTTTGCTTTTGATGAGGTCCGCGGCCGGAGCCAGCAGCCCTCGAGTCTCTCACATAGTTCCTCGCATAGTTCGACTTGGACCTGATCCTGCGACGTATGAGGGCGGACGGGCCAAGTCCCTATACGATTTCCACCTTGCTTCCTTCCATAGACTCTTCTCCTTGCCAAGTCGCCGCCTCCGACACCGGTTTGTGCTTGCACACTCCAAGCTAGGAATGGCATTGGCTCCCTCATCATCCCCCCGGTCGCCGCTTCCGACACCGGTTTGTGCTTGCACACTCCAAGCCAGGAATGGCACGGGATTCTCCATCCACCATCCTTGCGCAAGGTTAAATTTTTGGAAGGGAGTCCGGTTTCCAGCCCCCAATTTTTGTTGCCCACCACTCAGCCCTTTAGTTAAGCGTCCAGCCCACCTACAAACTAGGGGCCTCAAAGGGGCTCATCGATGGAACTGTTGACTGTTGCCTTTCAAAGATCGTCGGGCCGACGATCTTTGAGGGTAACCGATGTGTTCGGGATACATCACAGATCAGATCTTGAAATTTTCAAGGCATTCCGTGCCGAAATGGCTAAGAAATAGAGGAATTAGTGCCAGTTAGAGAGCCCCAGTTTGTACGTGGGCTGGACGCTTTAGTCATACCCAGATAGAAGGGAACATTACGGAAAGGTTGGAAGCGCTTCTTGCCGCGGCATTGCCGTGAAAGCATTTTCAACGAAACATTATAAAAACGTTTCGGCAACATTTCCTTAAAAAGTATACAGGTGGTCACTTATGAAGGAAAGCCTCCGACAAGGTTACCGTAATGATAATTAAATAAGAATTTCGGAAATGTTTATAAAAACTCATTTCGGAAACCTTGACGTAAAATGTTTTCCAGGTGGCTTGTTTAAAATACATTTCTGAAACGTTTTCGCAGAAGTGAAGTCAGGCTTTACCTCCTGGGAAACGGTTTCACAACATTACCGAAAAGTTACTAACACAGTGTTACAGACAGCTAATTTTGTAAACGGTTTCGACAAACCTTCTTCAAGGAAGAATTGCCACAAGGGTTGTAAAACTAAGGTTACCGAAACCTTTTCAAACAAATGTTCATCGGTGATGGTTTCTTACACAACCTTTAGGCAAAGCATCCGTAATGAATGGCATTCAAGGGTTCCGGAAACGTTACGTTACAACAGTTGCCTCAACTTTATAGAAAAATGTATTACGTCCCAAGTAGCCACGGTTCCAACATGTTGGAAAAACATCGTAAGAAAGTCACAACTTTGTGGCAAAAATTTTGTTCCAACTTTGTTGTAACATTGTGGGAAGAAAGTTGGAATAAAGTTGCATCAATATTGCAACATCTTGCAGTTCATTTTGAGGAGAGTTCCGATCTTTGCATCATACGACCAGCAAATGAGCGATAAACCTACGTTGGTGCTTCTATTATATTTTACAGACTGTTTAAGTAAGCCCTTCGATATTCACTCAGTACCCCTCAAAAAGTTTCAACATTCTTGCAACTAAGTTGCTGCTGTTTTGCCGTTGATGATTAACGCGTCGCGGGGAGGGGAGGCATGTGTGCGCGCGCATGCGGCATCGTCCACTGTCGACCGTGTATCGCCATCCTATTGGTCAATTGGTCCGCCATGTTGAGAAAGACGCTCCCAACGCTCCAGATCCAGAATCCTTCAACAAGTGTCAGCCTGTTTTGGTGCTTTCGTGCGTGCTCGTGATAATGTTTCTATATCAAAGTTCTGGCTGGATTTATTGGTTTTATCGAGAAGTGTAATTTTGTTATGTGGGTGTTCGCGTCTTCAACCAGTGATTGACTTCAATGTAAGTAATTGCCCTTCAGTAATTCAGTATGCCTCGAAAGAACTATAGTAAGAAGGGGACTGACTTTTCTAGGCTCTCGCGAACTGGACAGGCTAAACGCCTTAAAAGTGTGTTGCCCTCGAGCAGTGACTCGGAGTCCGACATAGACTCGGAATCTTCCCAAACATCAGAAGTCAGCGATCATCCGGAACCTCAGCTCATCCAAGAGCCTCTTAATGCTTGTGCTGTTGCTGGTCCTAGCACCGCCGACGACTCTCTCCGAATCCCAAGCCCTGAAAACCCCTTCGATTTTTCAGCCTCTTCCATTCCTTCCCCTACCTTAAGTTCCCATTTTTCAGATGAATCGCTTAGTTCGTTCGGCTCAGGCTCAATTTCCTATTTTGGTTCTAGTGAGTCAGGTTTGGACTTGGATGTTCAAGGTGATGCACCCATCCCCGAAGATGGTGACTCACCGATCCCAGAGGACGATGATGGTGATGTCTCTTCCGATAGTGAAGATGAAGACGGTGTTGCTTCTGTTGAGAAGGGGTTGAGAGAATGGGCTATCAAGCATAATATCACTCATCTTGCGCTAGGTGCTTTACTTAAAACGTTGAAAGATAGTCACCCTCATTGCTTTGCCAAATTGCATACAGATGCTCGCTCAATTTTGCACACTCCCCGAGAAAAAGTGGCTTTAATTGATGTTCCCCCTGGAAAATACTTCTCAATTACCATATCTAAACACCTAGAATTCATCCTTTGTTTACTGCCTGATTCTGTTGTTGTCCTGCGTCTAATGTTCAATATAAATGGAATATCAATTAAAGAAAGCAGTTTCAATGAAATCTGGGCAATCACCTTCAACCTTCCTACGTTTGCACAACTGAGACACGCTGTTCTTCCGGTAGGATTTTACGGAGGTTCCTCAAAGCCTGACAGTGTTGAGACTTTTCTTAGGCCGTTGGTAGATGAATTGAAGACCCTTCTTGATAATGGTTTTGTCTACAGAGGTCGAGTTGTTTCCATAAAAATTTTTGGCTTTGATTATGACACCCCAGCTCGATCTTTTATTCTTAGTATTACTGGACATGAAGGCTACTTTTCTTGCATGCGATGCAAAACAGAGGGGATCGATGCTGGTAACAAGAGAGTGTTTCCTGTAATTGATAGTCCTTTAAGGACTAACGAAGAATTTAGGAATAGGGAAGACACCCATTTTCGACCACCTGGTACGTCAACTCCCCTACTGGAATTAGAGTCTCTTCATTTTTGCAACGATTTCATATTAGACCCCATGCATCTTGTGTATGGAGGTGTAATGAAGTACTTGCTTTCTCAGTGGCTTGATGGTTCTGTCCCTCATAAATTTTCTGTTCGACAACGGCAAGAATTCAAAAATGCTATCCGAAGTATGAAGGATCATATCCCTAATGACTTCTCCCGGAAATTGCTATCAATAAAAAAAAAGATAAAATCTCATTGAAATGGAAATCTAAAGAGTATAGGCTGTTTCTTCTCTATGTGGGAGTTGTGGTTTTAAAAAAATTGTTAGCGCCTGAAAAATATAATCATTTCCTCTATTTACATGATGCCATAACTATTCTCAACAGACAGGACTCGTGCGCCAATCCAGGTCTGCGAAACTACGCTCGTCAATTTTTCATCCATTTTGTTAGCAAAACAACTGATCTTTATTCTATGGAATTCCTCACTCCCAATTTTCATGGTTTGATCCATCTTGTGGATGATGTCGATAGATTTTCTGGATACTTCACCGACTTCACTCTAAACGCACTCACAGTGTTCCCCCACGAGAACTTCCTAGGAAAAATAAAGAAACTCACTAGGGGCCCTGCAAAGACGCTTCAGCAAGTGGCCAATCGTTTAAGCGAATTATCTAATTGCAAATTAATGAGCAAGCTGTACAGTTGCACAGTTAAGCCAGAAGTTTCATTTCAGAACAGACACAATGACGGACCACTCCCTTTATTTCATAGAAATCCGCAGTACAGAACTTTGATTCTTCCAGATTTTAAATTGACTATTGCCAATTCCTCCTCTTCTTATTGCCAAATGAGAAACGAAGACATCGTTCAGATTGAGAACTTCGCCTATTCAGTGCAATTAAGAGAGGTTGTGATAATTGGTAAAAAATTCACTGACTTAACAAGTTTCTACGGTGAGCCTCTCCTACAGAGTTCTTCTTTAGGAATCTTCAAAGGTAAACATTTGTCGGCTAGGAAGCATTGGCAAATCTCGGAAGTCATGACCAAGTACATGGCACTTCCGCTGAGTGACTCCCTTGCTGCATACGGTTTAAAGTAAGACATTTTTTTATTAGGATTATTAAGAAACTCTAGTGATGTGGGCTGTTCAACTCTTCTACATCTTTTTCCCCTCTCATCTCCTTTATTTGTACTAATTCCTTGAATTCCTCATTTTTCATCAGAAAGTGTTAGTGTTATTTTACGTTTATCTTTATTTTTAGCTTCCTTTTTTAAAACTTCAACTTTTGCACTCCCATCAATTTTACTTTTAAGTTGTGTGATTTCCCATGTTTTCCTCCTCATTTGCACACTTACAGAAATTCAAAATCTATGCGCAGTTAGGTTACCATTATTCATTTATTTATTTATTTTTCTGTGGTGGTAACAAGAGATAAAAAAGTGATAAGTAGCTTTGAACTTAACTGAGATGACTGCAGAGATTTGACGAAATTGAAAAAAATCAGAATCTTCATAAGTTATTTTTATTTACTTAAAAACACTAGGAACATAAATAATTTTTGTGTCTATGGAGCGACTGTTCAATTTATTGGTCGATAGGTGCATGAAGATTTTTTTATGTAGGTAGTCTCTAAGATGCTCAGCTTTCTCTTGCAGAATGGTTTCAAATACTGAACTTCTCATGAAGGCTTCAGGATTTTGAGTGTCATCAAAGATTTTTCTCTGTTTTTCCTCCTATTCCCACTTTGTCTACAAGTTTTCATGCTTGCACTTTGACTTGAATTTGATCCATCGTTTCTTTAGTCAGAAATGTATTGTTGTCTCTCCACTTATCTGATAGATTGTCCTGTGATATGCACAGTGTTCAGTGTGGGTCCGACCTTGCATGAATTTTTATAAAGTATCCTGTTTAGTATTTTTCTTAATTATCCTCTCTTTTCTCTCTTACAGAATGTGGACCCTAATTTTCAAAGTCGAGTGTGATGAATACGACTCGGTTCCCAACAAGTGGATCCTAAATGATGGACTGGCTAAATATCCAGTAGACGCCACAGCAACAGAAATCAAAACTTTAGCAAAAGGAGGAAATGACATCAAAACCTTTGAACCAATTCCTGTACAAATCATCAAAGAATATGGTAGGCTGGTGTTTAAATTTCACTCATTCCTTTTCTAATGAAATTCTCTTCTTCAAAAGATACAAATTTGATATGTTTCGTCACGCATGACATTCTCTACATTTCTACATTCTCAAAGTACCCGCTTACAATCTGTATGTCTCAATTAAACATGACATAATGGTGGTAGGGATTCAACCACAGCAAACTGTGTAGGTATGAAACAGCTCTCTTCACCTGAGAAGTCAATCAGAAAAGACCGATTCCTTCTGCCAAAAGGTGATTAATATTTCACAATCTTTATTTTCCTTCAACTTCTCTAGGTCAAATGCATATCATCTCGATTGTAACAAAAATTTACCTCCATTTATTGTTTCAACATCCTCTTTGATTTGATGTAAAGGAATTCATTCCATCAAGGTTTTGTTTGTGTGTCAATGTTCTACGATGGTGCACCTTCAAATGTATTTTAAAAAAATGAAAAACCAAAAATATCCGAATTTGAAACTTATCTCCAAAACAAGACCAAAAATTCAGAGAAAAGGGTTTGAGAGAAATGTCCTGAAGCATATATTTAGTCAATCAACAAAATTTTTCAAATTTACTAAATCCTGACAGTATTGCTGGGCAAGATGTAATTAATTAATAGAGCCTCAATGATGTCATGCCCCTTCAATAAATTGCAGACCCCTAAGGAAAAGTAATGCGTCTAGCCTAGAGTATAAAAAAAGAACTTATTTTATTCTGCCCTTAAATGCACAAACCTGATCAAAAATGCTCATGAAACATGATCATTTCAAATTCAGATGTGACAGTGAAGTTGGACTGGACAGTCAGAAACTTCATTATAGCTCAGTTATAACTAGCCTGGTTCTATGCCTCTCTTTCACCTACACATTTTTATTTTAATGAAGATAAGAATTGGATGAAAATTAACAATATATTTTTGCCATCATTTCAAGTTTTTAGCTCATACTTTTCCACTTGCTTTTCCAGACACCTACGAGAAGTGCAACACCAATGCCTGGCGTTTAAATAGTCACCGCAAGGTGCTTTCGGAGTCCGAACAGGAATCAAAAGGAAGAGGTCAACGCATAAAAAAGAGGAAACACCTCTCATCTGACGATAACGATGAATCAGAGGAAGAAACCCAACCGAAAGTGTCCAAGAAGAAAAAATCATCCTCGAAATCTCAAAAGCGTGAGGAAATGCGCGAAAAATTGACAGAATTTGCCAAAGGTCTGAAAAAGACCGAGTTACCCACGCCCCCTGATAATCGTCCTAAAACCTCAAAACCTAGCTCCTGTACTGAAGAATTTCATCAATCAACCATCGCTTCAGCATCCTCTTCGAAAGATTCCGCCAAGAATTTTTTAATTGTAGATGAAGGTGGTCCAGAGGCCTTAGATACGCCTTCCCCTCTTAAAAGACTAGCTGCATCGCCCCACGACACAGGCAAGCCCTCTCCTATCAACCGCAAATCTCCAAACAAATCACAGTGTCAAGAGTCCGTGAAGAAGCAACTCTTTACAGAAAAAGAAGCCCCGAAGAAAGCGAAATGTAACATTGGGAAGAAAGTTAAACACACATGCGGCTTCTTGCTGCAGTGTCCGCGAGATGAGGCGGTGCTGCACATTTTATGCAAACTCTCTGGTGAGTAACTATTTTAAGTTTTAGAGTATTTATACTCATCAAATTTCGTTGTCGATTTTTTTTTTCCTACTAGTATCTCCAAACTTGTTTACAGCAATTTATATTAAAAGCATGCAAGGAAGATTTAGGTGGCTTCATTTTCTTCTTCTAGCGCTTCGTCTTTATGTCTTTGGTCCAAGCGTTGCCACTGTTCATCAATATCCTCCCAAGGCATTGAGTTTCTATCATTTAATATTCTGATGTTTGGAGATATTTCAGTGGTTGAGTATCAGAGTGGGACTGCATACCACCCTAATTTTACAGTGGCTCTGCAAGTGTCCGCAGGAATAACTATGCATGATATATCTGATACATCACTTGGCAAGTTTTGCAGAGAACTTGCTCTGTAGGTACACTAAGTTAAGTTGGAGAGATTGACGGTGATTTGAAATTCCAGAATGCTTACTTCAGTTAATGAATACATAGTGTTTTTGGTTGAAAGGAAGTGACATGTCAAATTACTCGACCGGATTTTCTACATGAAAAATGTTCTCGAGGGTTTTTTAGTTTTCATTCTTCACTTAAGAGAGCACTCTACACTGTTTCCTTCGCTGTAAGTAACGTGCTTAGCAGTTTTCTTCTCAAGAAGTACCTCTTTCCAGGTGCCTTCACATTTTTTCCGCCTCCTCACGTGCCTGGATTTGGTCTGGGATCAGCGAATCGAGCACTTTCTGTACCCTCGGAAAGTGTTCTAAATGCGCGATCGTCCGTAGGCAAGGAATTGTTTCTCCGAACAGTTTGTGACTCACTGAGGAGCCGCGCAGACACTAACAATTGTTGGGCACTGGCCTGTGTTGAGCGCTCTACAATTTTGCTGCATTTAACGCGAATGGAGCTAAATTGAACGCAGTGGCAACGAATATCGATGCACTGAAAAAAATTAAAAGGAAGCAATTAAGCCTTCCACATTGGCGATATTCTGCCGATAAGAAGTGTAAGAACTTTCGAAAAATTTATAGAAGATTTAAAGGTTGAAGAATTCCAACTAAAAGTAGTGAGTACCTATACTCTAATCTTCTTCTCTTGTTCTCTTTTTCTTATTTTCTATTTTCTTTCAACACTCAACTCTCTGATCAATAGAACCTAGAAATTGTGTTGCTTTAATTTATCTGAAAGTGAGAAATCTGAGAATCTGGGCAAAATATGTGAATGTAAACCTGTGATAACTTTTTCTATTGATTCCTCTATTATACAGATCAGCCCATTCAAGTTATTTTGCCTCGGACTCCTACCACAATGTTGAAATAATTTTAACTGATTTTTTCTATAAATTGACTCTATTATTAAAAAAATAAATTGAATCTCTTACACTAGACAAGCATTAAAAAAATAATAATAAAAAAAAAAATAAGTTGAATTCGCTTTTCCTCTCAAAAGATTCGATAAATATTTGTGGAACACTCTCTTAACCTCAGTGTTACTTAACTATAACTGTTAGCAATGTATCCACAGTCTATTTAATGCATTTTACTGATGTTCCAAAATTATTTTATTTTTTTTCAGAAGGAGTCATTCTCATGCTTAGCGGAGAGTGATGTTAAAGGCACAGCTGCAGCAATAATGAGGAAATTGATGACAGATGAACTTGCAAACAATTTTTGCCTCGGCAAAGCTCCAAATAAATTGAAATTTGAAAGTTATATAATTCTCTATTTGATTATTGGTACGTAAACTTGATTTTTTAAGCCTCTATTATCAATTCCATTTATTGTCTGCTTCTCAAAATTTGTGGACATTTTGACAGTATTGTCCTATTTTTGCTTTTTCAATTCTAGTTTCTTTCTAAGAGGGTTATTGCCGTATCCTTCAGTAAATTCCTGTATAAGCTTCACTTGGGTCTGATCGCCTTCAGAAACATGTTGTCATCTCGCAAATGGTACAATTGGAGCTCAGAATAATGTGAAGCTATTTCAAGGGGAAAGATACCTCATTGTATTCTCCCAGCAAAATGTAAAATTTTGAAACTAAAATTTAAAAATTAGGCTACACTTCATGCTGTTCCCCACTCCTATAAATGCTTGTTGATCTTGTAGGTTATGGCCATCTCGTTAATCTTTTGCCGTGTTATGTAATTATCTTTCATCTTAATAAAACTTAGGTTTAATTAATCTCGCGACTTCTTAATGAGTTAATCCCTTCAGAATAACAGGTTATGGGTCCGGTGTACGTTCTTATGTGACGTTGTGACGAAATTCAAAGTATTTTGGGTTTTGAGTGCGAGATTGTGCAATGCCGTGCACGTGCTTCTGGCGTGATTTTGACGAGTTTTTGACGAAACTTGACGATTGTGGCTGATATTGAAATAATATACTCTCGCAATGACCACGGGAGAATTGTTAAAGAGAAGAATCCAACCCCTAAACGAGGAAAATTATACGATTTGAAACCACAGAGTTAAGCTTACACTTAAAAAACGCAAGCACTGGGAAGCCGTAGAGCCCGGTTATGAAGGTGCCGAAGATGAATGGACTGCTGAAGCAAGAAGTAAGAACCTAGAAGCTTTAAATTTTATTACTGAAAATGTTGAAGATAGATTCATCCCTGAAATTTTGCACTTGATAACAGCTAGAGAAGTCTGGCTGGTATTAGAACGACAAAATTGTAATAACATAACGCAGAATAACGCTTCGGGGGTTGGATCGCAAAGCGGGTATGGAGCGCGTACTCCTCGGTGTGGTAAAATCTCCCCGGACAGTATGAGTGATCATTAAACCATGATCTTGGTCCTACTTCAAATTGTGTTTAACTTAGGCACTTTAAAAAGACCTAGTGCATAACATGACTGGGTTTACTGAACGATTGAGTCGTCGGCCCGCATTTTTTCCCCCTTGCTTGAACGTTACTTTAATAGTCGCACTGCTTGGTTTGGGAAAATTTCGATACCTATATTGGGTTCTATAATGAAAAATGATGCAAAAACTTGATTAAGTTGTTTGGATACTTGCTGATCAGATATGAACAGTACGTTCATAAAATAAAAATAAGTGAATAGTACATTCTTCATTTTTAGGTTTGAGAAACCACGAGTCTTCGCTGAAATTTCTCTTTTAAAAAAGGGAGCAAATGGCATCATTTATGACGAGATTCGGTTAGATTAGATTGAATTTGGTAACCTTTTATCGCAACACGAAAACGCTCTTACAGAGAGGCCGATCATTGCAGAAACGACGCATACGTGTACTACGATGCTGCTCTGATTCTGAAATTTTGTGCAATTTGGAATAGCACGATACGAGGGTAGTGCCGGACTTTTTAATCGAGAAATCTACCGCATTTTTAGTATACTTTTTTCAAAAATATCGTTGAGAGTTTTTTTTACTTGTTTTATTTTATACTTGTTTGTTTGCTTTCTTGCTGTTATAAATTGCTGGTTTTTTATAAATTATCTGCGAAGTTTTAGCTTGATTGGCAGTGCATACACGTGGTTACCACAAAGAACGCACTCCTCGAGCTAATTTTACTCGCAACTTTTAGCTCATTTTTTTGTTCGCAAAAATTTTGCTTGACTCTTAAGTGCTTAACTCTTAAGCACGTGACACTGTTCGAAAGTAATCGTATCAGACTCGTAGGTAACTCAATAAACAATGTCCTCGCAAAAAATTACTTTTACAGAAAACCCAAGTATGATGATCCTGTTGAAGAAATAGGTCATTCTTGGAGCACTTGGGCATCGTTGTCCATTTAAAAAGTTGAAGAACCTGTTGTCCGATTATGCCAATCGAGTAAAAGATTAGAGCAAAAGTACAGAGGTTGGTTCTCTTACGAGCCATACGAGAAACATCAAGAGGCAGATCCGGTAAAGCTCAAAATTTCCGTTCGATGGTCTCCGCGGAATCTGGAACACAAAGCCAAACACGAAAGATGCACATGTGTAGGATTTAATTGCATAGTCAAAGCAAAAAGGTATTCATTCTAAGTGAAAACTGAATTAAAAATTTACTCATGAATTGCAATATATTGTAAGCTTAATAATTAAGCTTGACAATTATTGTATCTTGACGCTAGGATTCGTGCATTTAACACTATGACTCTTTTCATGGCGGAATCATGAATACTCAGCGCGTGCAAACTTTGCACCAACAATGAGGCTGGAAATATCCCCAAAATTTAGGTGGCGGTGGGACTTGCGACAACAAATGAGTCCGATTGTGCACGAGAAACAGCCGAGAGAGGAGACACTTTTTTGCAAAATCGCACGTAAATCACGATGGCTGCCCAGACCCATTGTGGACACATGAGCACATTAAAAAAGTATGAAATCCACACCTTAACGTGGAAACTGCGCAGTTTGTACTTAACACGCTTCCTCAAATTCTCTTGTGTCCGCGGAAGGTTTTTCTTGTTGACCGGCAATCAGGTTTGCTCAAAGAGAGACGCAAGAAAATTCTAGCTTTTAAAAAACAAACAGTATCTGCCGACTTGCGTGGCAAGCTTTCCTTCCGAACCTATGATTTCTATTGATTAAAACTTTTCTTTTTGCAACTAGAAGCTAGAAGTGAGAAAGAAATACATTTAAACCCGGTTGAAACCAAACGCGAGAAATGGTTTGCAACATCGTTGTATGAATATATTGAGGTTGAGTTTTCTTGCGTCTTTTTATGGGCAAACCTGATTGCGGGTAGCTAGGAAAAATTGCCTTCAAAACCGAGATATTGAGAAGAAGAAAAAAATAGTTACAAACTATGCAAATTGCGCATTATAGGGTGAATTTTAGATTTTTTTCTATACGCCTATCGAGGTTTTCGAGAGATTTTATTGTAAATGTCTACTCACTTGGCGTCTCTTCTGTACAACAGATCCTGGGGAAAATGTTACCAGCTCTCGAAGTGACGATCGATCTTGAACAGGCGACTTGAACGCGCGTGATGCTGTGTTGTGGGTACATACGCCTCTTGCGCGTCAAGCAGGCTTCACTCCTTTTTTGATAAAAGGAAGATCCTAATCGAAAAAAGCTGCACCGGTAACAAAGCGCAGCGATATGTTACATGGTATTTTTGTCTCAAGATGTGTAGGAATTTTAGAGATACCTATATGTTTATAAAAACGATATCGAAGGAAGGACAAATAAAAAGTTACAATTTAGACCGGCAGCAAAAAGGAGCTTATCTCTATTTTCCCTCTCAGCGTGATAATACTATTAACAAACGTTTCTCGACCATTTTGTCACAAATTCTACAAAATTATAGTCATTTTACCACCTGCATTTTTACAGCAAATGATACACATGAATTCATGAACAAACAATTCGTTTTTTTTTGTTTTGTTTTTTTTTAATTCACCAAAAAGTTAGTGACATTAACTCGGTGGATTTTCAGCGCCGATGCCTAAAATGACCTCTATTTTTCTGCATCAGTTTGGTTTTGCCCGACGAAAAATGGAATTTTCCTTTCAAATCGAGTTTTTCCGGGGAAAATTTAGTTTTCCGGAAGTAGTAACTCCTGAAATAGGCATATATTTAGTTCTATAGAAATCTGTGCATATTTGACGAAAACTGTAGTCATTTTTGGATTTAGAGGCCAAAAATTCTGCACAGACTTGGTTTGTCTATGTCGCAGTGAAATTGCAAGCCACCAGTGAATGAATAAAAAAAGCATAAAATTCAGGAATAAAGGAACACGATTGGAGGACTGATTATTTTGCCTTCAGTGTGAATAGGAACTTCAGTCCTCATAAAAACACGGTTGTAGCATGTAACGAGCACACTTACGAGAACGTGTACTTAGTGAACTCCTTGACCTTAGTAGGCAACTAAACTAACTCCGCGCCAAGGCGTAGAGTATCACAAAAAATGAAGGCGCTCCAAACCGAGATTATGCTAACGAAGGTGACATCAAACGTGCACCATGCCGATACGCATTATTGCGGTTTATCGAAACAACACTTGCATGCAGATCGCAGGCGATTGCTTATTATCTGCGACATCAATAATACACAGATTTTTATGAAAACTGAATTTTCCCTGGGAAAGCTCGATTTTAGGGGAAAATAATAATTTTTCTGTGGATGCTAAACTAATCCTGAAACACGCGGAGGACATTTTCAGAATTAAGGCGAAAAATCAACGAAGAATCAGTTGCTAACTTTTTGGATAACCGACCTGTGTTGACCAGAGTTACAGTAGAGGCTCCAAAAGTCTTTACACCCTCTCCCCTAACTTTTCAACATTTTTTCTCAGAAATATAAAATTTAGAACATTTACCTAGATCAATGCTCGATTCATACTTCTCTTCGTCTTTGATTATTAAAAAGGGGAAAGGACTGCTTCTGCTGGTTTTCGCGGGATTTTTCGACGAGCATCGAGTAAAAGAACGTACTTCAAACCAAATTCAAGTCTTAAGGTCTAGAATTCTCGCTTAAAATTGCAAGAAATTAAAAATTGTATTTTTCTTGGAAACCAATCATACAGTAGACTATTTTTTCAATCTCACCGTTTTTCCTCTAAGATTTTTACCATTTGCGAGGAATTTTTTTTTTTTTTTTTTTAAAAAAACGAACTGAATCCACTCATTTTGGTTAGATTATAAAAAGCTCAAAATCGAGTTGGCGGCGTGAAAACACAATTCTTTTTTTTCTAAATACTCCAGTGCTTGAAAAATGAAAGAAGAAGAGGAAGAAATTAAAAATGAGGCGTCTAGTATTAAAACCTGCGATCACCATTTTGCTGTCGAAAAATTTGGCACATGTTTTCATTGTTTAAAAAGAGTAACCAATATGACTCCGTCCGTAAAACACTGTCATAATTTTCTCACGACCGTAAAAAGTCAATTCATTAGAAAGAATGCACACTGATGCTCTTCGGATCTCTTCACTGAAAAAAAAAAGTATGGCAAATTTCACTAGCAGTATATGGCGATTCCAGCGTGAGTCTACTTGATTTTTGACACAATGATACTGTAGGGTAACGAATTAATAATAACCAGATATGTTATAAAATTTACTATACTTTGGGAGAATGCGATCTGTTTAACCTACATTATTTACAACCATAGTGTCAGTGTCTGTTGGTGATACGTATGACACTGTCGCTCAAACCACACTTTTTTCTCAGTGGTCATTAAATACTGGAACGTCTGCCTTTGTAGACAGTGAAATGAAGATTGCAGATTCTGATACTAAGCGCCTCAAATCTGCTACACTGTGCAGCAGCAGAGGTTGCACACAATTTTGTGTCTATGGCGCTGCATGCTTTTAGTGCCGTTTTATCTATGACTAGACGGATATGATTACACATATAAAGAGAACAGAAAAAAATAACAGATTGGAAAACAAATAATTTGAAATGAAATTTTATGTCTGAATTCTCAGATGGAAACTCGAGCAAAATTCTTAAGATGCCTGCGACCAGATAATCTTTTTACGTCTTCGGATGATGTAGATCGCTGCTCGTCATTCAAGCCCAATTTTTTTTTACTCTTTCATTATTTCTTTTAATTATACTTTAATACTTGCATCGCGTTTAGCAGAAAGGAAGCAAGCGACATCAGCTTGCCGAATTTAACAGGATAATTTAATTTTTCAAAAAGAACGTTTGTGCGGATTCCTTTGAACATTTGAAGGAATTTGCTTCTTACTAGGCAGAAAATTCACTAAAATTTGCGCAAAAAAATACGCACAACCGCTTTCAAATAGAACATTGAGGTGCTCAATTCAATTTGGCAATAGCTGACGTGGCTTGGTTCCTTTCCGCTTGACGCGGCCCATTTGATGTTCGATGATTCCATTGCGTCCCAAGTAGCATTTTTCAACGGAAAAATTGCGATTTGTTGCGATTTTGTTGGCGATACAATTGCTAAGATAATCAACATCTGAGCGATTATCCTCGATCTTGTTGCAATAAAATTGCGATTTTACCGCCGGGCAATTTATCGCGATATTATCGCAACAAAAATCGCGATATACGGCGATTTAATCTGAATTTTATCGACAAAAATTGATCGCGATTTTATTGAACAAAAAATTGCGATGTACAGCGATTTAATCGCCATAAATCGTAATTTTTTATTCGATAATATTGCGATTAAATGCCACCGATATAATCGCGATAATCAACCGATAAAATCGCTATTTATCGCGATCACTGCTACTTGGGTTAGCAGCAAAGCGATTAAAATTGTTTCTTCCATGTCTATTTCACACGGGGGACGGCAAACTCTTTAAACTTTGATCCTAACGCAAAATCATATCAATAAAATTTTATGAGTAAACAGGAGTTTTCGGGACGCTCCATTCCCGAGGAATTCGACCCGATTTGAGGAAAATCAAAGCTCGCACATTTACACTATCCTATCGTGCCCTAACTTATCGCGAGTGCAAACTGCCGCTCGACAATGTGGCCAAGACGCAAAGGGCAAGGGTCGCTTACAGAGGAACTACTGCAGCTTACTATCATCTGTGAAAACAATGGGTTTGCACCGATGAGTGAGATTTCACAGGTTCGTTTGACGCCAATTCCTATCATGCTATGGACTTTGGCAAGTCTGAGGATGCCCGGGCCCGCAGAGACAAAAAAAATTTCCTGACTTTTAGGTCTACTCATCTAGGGAAAAACTATACGGCGAAAGTCACTCGAGGATTCGAACATTTTTTGAACATGGACGCAGACGCACCATTATAGAAAGTCCACTGCGTCCCGCAAAGACCCTGAAGAACAATAAGAACAACGGAAATGTTGCATGTGTGAGGAATTTGCGATTTGCCGGATGCTACTTATGTATAAGTTCGCGAGAAACACGATGGTGCCATTGGTTTTCTCTAAAATCAACTCCCAAGCTCAAAAAAAGCTCTCAAGTTGAGGCCAAAATGGAGGGGATATCGTACGCTATCCTGAGAGTCCAC